TTTCCACACAAACCAAATAGTTGACAAGGGAAAGGTCTTCTTTATAGAAGAACTCCAGCTAACAAATGCAGAATCAATGGTAGAATTAGAAAACCACCATATGGCAATCCTTAATGAAAAACTGGATCTAGGTAACAATCATCAGTGGAAACTAAAACCATTAGAGAAAGGTCGAGGGGGAACTTTTATAATGGACCTACAAACGGATGCATCTGGCTGATCAAGTTTAACACCAGTAGAAGTGAGATGACTAGACATTGCCTGTCTCCTTCTCCATGCAATAGGTAGTACATAGCCTCACCTACAGAATATACTTACCAAAAGAAATGAACCTTAACTACCAGATTTCAGGAAATGCAGGGGACAGAAGAGCACCCACAAGGATCCAGTCAGACAAATCCAGAATTCAGGACAGTCTACAGGACAAATGACCTGGTTTCTTCAACAAATAAACAGCATGGAAAAAAAAAGGAAGAGAGCTGATATAGATTTAAAGAGACTTAAGAATATAACAGCTAAATGTATGTGTGGACCTTGTTTGGATCCTGATTCGAATAAGCCAGTTGCAAAAAGGACTTTTTGATAGTTGGAGAAGTTTGCACACTAATAGGTATTAAATGGTAGTAATTATTTTAATTATTTCAGCTCTGACAAGGTATTGTGGTTATGTGTATTCTTAATATGGTGGATAAGAACTTGGTGTTGATAATTTTCACACTGGCCAATAGGTCCATTGGGTTCATTTAACTATTCCCTCTACTTTTGTGTGTTTCAAATTTTCCATAATAAAAAATTTTTTTAAATAAATTTGATCTATCCTGAGAGGCCTTCCTACATCCCCCCAGCTGGGACGTAGGTATTAACTACATTTACTGGGATTAACTTTTTCCTCTTACTTTTAAAATCTATTGATTTCCATTTCTAACATAGCATTAATCCCTGTCTCCATTATTGTTACGATCTTCTTCCTGAAGGTGTGTTTATCTGCCTTCCTACCAATTGGTGGAAAGCAGGAAATGTATCTCTGTAGTTCTGGTGTCAAATAATTTATACTTAATTTAATTTAAAAGAGCTGAATTGGACTTGGGCTCACACTTGAGCTCCCAGGGTGTCCATAGGCCAGGACAGATTTACAGTTCCTGACAGCGCTGACTGGTCCCATCAGAAAAATGGCAGCGCAATAAGGGAAAGGAAGTCCACCCCATGGTGACCAAGCACCCATTCACTCACTCATGCATTCATTCATTTATTCATTTTATTCTATTGAGTGACTCTCTGAGCCAAGTACCATGGTGGATCATGGACATACATTCCACTGCCCTGTCCAACCCAACCCTCCAAAGAAACACCTTCTAAGAGCTCAGTCTAGTGAACAGAGCGCCATCATACTACAAGTAACCAGAACGTCATCATACTGTATGGTAAGTGCTGCACCACAGGTAAGAGGAGACAGCCGCGGGGTTGGTGGAGGGGCAGTGAGCCCACCAGGAAACAGACTCCTGGTGAAGAGGCAGTAGATCAGGGACTCCTGTGTGACCATCTCGTTGGCTTCAGACTAAAAGGCTTGTAGAAGTGACAAGCTGTGAGGCCAGGAACAGCCCCAAACAAGGCTGGGTGAAGAACCCCATGCTAATAGTTGGCACCCCTCCAGAACAACACTCTTTAAACCTGTTTGACAGTTTTATAGAGAAGAGGGTGAGCACTGCTGGGGCAGGGTGTGGAAAAGGGGCACTGGGCAGCCTCCCCCTCCCCTGTACAGTTCCCAGTGATACTGCTCCAGCCCCCAAATTGCGAACCCCACTCAGCAAATCTGAAGCCCCGCCCTTCCTCAGAAGTCCTTTTTACAAGCAATTTATTAACACATCTGTTATTACTTAAGCACACACCTTGAGGTTCCCACCCCTACAAAAAGTATTCCTAGCAATGACATCTAGTTTTCTCCCGGGAGTCTGCCTATTAATCTGGATCTGGGCTTGTCATACCACCTTCCCTCTTGTACCACTCCCATCCCCCGACAGTGCACATTCCAGAGCCCCCTGCTGCCTCTACTCATAGGCACCTCTTCTGGACATTCCTCTTGATTCCCCAACCAAAACAGACCTTCCCAAGCGAATTATCCAAGGACAACTTATAAATATGAATGTGGGTACACAGAGAAGCCACTTTAAGCACTGGTAGATGTCTGAATAAATGAATTATTTAATTAATGAATTAGTGAACATAAGGAGGCGGATCATGCCAGGGACAAAAATGGTTGATTAAACGAATGAATGAATAAATAAAAGAGACTAGAGGCCAGGTCCCTTCGACCTGCTAGCCTGGCTTCTCACCTGTCTCCTGGTTTGGGGCTGCAGGGCTCAGCCACAGCAGGAGAACCAGCCACATGGCTGCAGGCATCAAGCAGAGAAAGTGTTTCAGGGACCGAGGCCAGGACTTTTAATACCCACCCATCCCAGTAAGTTCATTTGGTATCTGCACCCCCAGGGAGGAGCCAGCTGGCACCTGGGCAGTCACTGGCAGGGGCAGAGGTGGCACCAAGACAGGGGCACAGGTGTCCCAGTTGCTTGGAATAGCTTGCCCAAGCAGAGGTAACACAACAAAAAAACAATTCTCCCATCTCCTGGGGTTTCCAAGCCTTTGGGAAGAGCAGAATCAGAGAAACCAGAGTGACTGCTGTCAGGAATTGCAACCTCATCTTACCTTGATTTCATCTGCAAAGACCCTATTTTCATAAAGGTCACATTCACAGGTACCAAGGATTAGGACTTGAACAGATCTTTTGGGGGGACACAGTTTAAGCCACAACAGTAATAAAATTTTATTTTTCACATTTAGGTCTTTACCTAGAATTTTTTTGTGTGTTGACTTGAGGTGTGGATCTAAAATAATTTTTTTTCATATGGATAACCAGTATTAAATTATCATTTACCAAATAATCTATCACTGCCCTATTGACTTGTGATACCACCTCTGTGGCATATCAAGCTTCCTTATATGTATAGATCTATTTATGGACTTTCCATTTTGTTTCGTTGTTCTAATTTGTCTTTTCCTACACAAGTGCCACACTATCTTAATTATGATAGCTTTAGAACACATTTTGATGTCTGTTAGAGCAAGATTATTCTTCTTAGCATTTCCTTGTCTATTTTTAGCCCTTTCCATTTCCATGTAAATTAATATATTTATTTTAAATTCCCTTTCATATTGCTCTAAATTCTGTAGCTCCTGGAGAATTTTCCTATTACATCTGCTGATTCTTTCTCATGGCAATTTATAACATCAATTTTTAAAATTAAACTTTTAATTTGAAATAATTGTAGACACACATGCAATTATAAGAAATAATACACAGTCCACATACCTTTTACCCCATTTCCCCCAATGGTAATAGCTTGCAAAACTATAATACAACATCACAAACAGGATGCTAACATTGAAAGAGTGAAGATACAGAATATTGCCAAGGATCCCTCCTGCTGCCCTTTTATAGCCACATTCACTTCCCTCCTGCCCCCACCCTCTCCTTAACCTCTGGAAACCACTACTCTGTTATCCGTTTCTATACTTTTGTCATTTCAAGGACGTTATATAAATGGAATCATGCAGAATGTTTGGGGATTGACTTTTTTTCACTCAGCATAACTCTCTGGGGATTCATCCAGGTTGTTGCATGTATCAATAGTTTGTTCCTTTTAATTCTGAGTAATGTTTTAAGGTACGGATGTACTATAGTTTTTTAATTATTCAGCTGTAGAATGATACCTGGGTTGTTTCCAGTTTTTGACTAATAAAGCTGCTATTAGCATCACACATGGATTTTTGTGTGAATATGTATTTTCATTTCTTGGAGATAAATGTGCAACAGTGAAATTGGTGGGTTGTAGGACAGTTGTATGCTTAGTCTTATAAGAAACTGACAAACTGTTTTCCAGGGTGGCTATATGATTTTATACTCCCACCTGCAATAAACAAGTGATACAGACTCTCTGCATCCTTGCCAACATTTAATATTGTTACTATTTTTAATTTCTGTGATTCTGATAGCTATGTAGTTATATTTTGTGGTTTAAATTTGCATTTCCCTAATGGCTAGTAATATTGACCATGTTTTCATGTGCTTATTTGTGATCTGTGTATCTTTTTCAGTGAAATGTCTCTTCATACCTTTTGCTCATATTCTAGTTGGATTGTTTATTACTGTTTTTAATTTAATTATTAAAAATTGAGGTATAATTGACATACATTTACTGTTGAGTTTTGAGAGTTCCTTATGTATTTTAGGTACTAGCTCTTTACTGCATGTGTGGTTTGCAATATCTTCTCCCAGTTTGTAGTTTGTGTTTTTGTCCTCCTAACAGGGTCTTTTGCAGAGAAAAAGTTTTTATTTTGATCTGTCCTTATATAAATCATGCTTTTGGTGTCAAGTCTAAGAATTCTTTGCTTAGCCATAGATCCTGAGATTTTCTTTTTTTTTTTTCCTAAAAGTTCTGTAATTTTACCTTTTACATTTAAGTCTGATCCATTTTGAGTTAATTTTTGTATAGCTGTGATACTAAGTCAAGGTTCATTTTTTTTTGTCTGTGGATTTCCAATTGTTCCAGCAACATTTGTTGAAAGGGCTATCTTTCTTCCATCAAACTGCTTTTGCTTCTTTGTCAAAAATCAGGTGGGCATAATTTGCGTTGGTCTATTGCTGGGCTCTCTATTCTGTTTCACTGATCTGTGTCTATACCTCCACCAGTACCACACAGTTCTTTTTTTAAAAAATAAATTTATTTATTTTTATTTTTGGCTGCATTGGGTCTTCGTTGCTGCGCACGGGCTTTCTCTAGTGGCGGCAAGCAGGGGTTACTCTTCGTTTCGGTGTGTGGGCTTCTCATTGCAGTGGCTTCTCTTGTTGCAGAGCACAGGCTCTAGGCTCACGGGCTCAGTAGTTGTGGCTCATGGGCTCTAGAGCGCAGGCTCAGTAGTTGTGGCACATGGGCTTAGCTGCTCTGCAGCATGTGTGATCTTCCCAAACCAGGGCTTGAACCCGTGTCTCCTGCATTGGCAGGCGGATTCTTAACCACTGCATCACCAGGGAAGCCCCTACCACACAGTTCTTCATTACTGTAACCATATAATGTCTTGAAATTGGGTAGGCTGATTCCTCTTACTTTCTTCTTCTTTTTCAAAATAGTTTGTTATTCTTGTCCTTTGTCTTTTCATATAAATTTTAGAATAACCTTATCCATAAAACAAAAAAATCTTGCTGAAATTTTGATATGATTTGCATTAAGTCTGTATATAAATTTGGAGATAACTGACATCTTTACTATGTTGACTCTTCCAATCCATGAACATAATATACCTCTCCATTCATTTAGATCTTCTATATCTTTCATCCGAAATTCGTGCTTGCTGCGTACAAATCCTGTACATATTTTGTTTGATTTACACCTAAGTGTTTCTTTTTCTTTCTTTTTTTAGTAAGTGGTATGGTATTTTTAATTTTGGTGTCCACATGTTCATTGCTAGTATACAGAAATGCAATTGACTTTTGTATGTTTATCTTATATCCTGCTACATTGCTAAACTCATTAGTTTTAGGAGGATTTTAAAAAATAGATTCCTTGGGATTTTCTACATATACTGAAGTATGTACAGATGAATTAATATGTCTGAGATTTGCTTCAAAATAATCTTGATAGGGGTAGAGGGTGGGGATATAGATGAAACACAATTGACTGTGAGCTGGTAATTGCTGAAGCTGCATAAAGGATACACGGGGGTTCAGTATTCTACTCTCAATATCTTTGTGTATGCTTTCAATTTTCTATAACAAAAAAATGTTCCCAAATGTTATTCCCTGTAAAAGCTGTAGGGGCCCTCATTGTACAGTAAAGTCATAGTGGTTGACCTGTCATTCAAGGCCCTTTATGGTCTGACCTCCCCGCTAACTATCCAGTTGTTCTTTGAACGCTTTCCAAAAGACCCCCTTCTCTGTATGTCTCATAGTCGTCTAAACAACGTTTTCAGTTTCCACTTTGTGTTTTTGCTCCTGCTGCATTGACCCTCCTCTCTGTCCCAAAAGGCCCTTCTCCCTCCTCTCAGATTAAATCCCACGCTGCCTCCCACCCAGCTCCAGAACCAACAGGCCCTCGAGGCCTCCCCTGATCACTCTGGCCACATTGATCTCCCCCTTCTCTGACCTTCCAGAACTCTGTCTTTAACATTCATTCCCGTATAACATAGTTGTTAAGAGTGGGATTTTTGGAACCAGACTGTCTGTATTTGGATCCAGCCTCCATTGTTTACTAGCTTTGTCACTTTGGGCAAGTTATTTAAACTCTCTGTGCCTCAATTACTTCTTTATAGAATGGAAATGATAATGGTATCTACTTCATAGTGTAGTTGGGAGGATTAAATGAGTCATACACGTAAAAACTTTAGAATAGTGTTCAGCACACAGTAAGAAATCCATATGTAATGATTTCATTTGTGTACATCCTATGTTATAACGAAACTGTAAATTCCTAAAGGGCAGGAACTGCATCCAAGCACTGAGTCATTTACATGGTAGATGAAAAGAATCACACATCCATGATCTGGATCAGTTTAAGTCAGACAAGTAAAGCCAATATTTAATTGCATAATTTGTCACTGTGGCCCTTTCACTGCCTATACCAAGGTTCTTTGCTTGCCAGCAACAGAATCTCGCTCCTGCTAACTTAAGAAAAAGGAATGTACTAAAAAGATTTGAAGGTTAAGCTAAAAAACTGGACTCAGAACAGGATAGGAAACTGGCGGCCCCGGAATCCAGGAGAGAGGAATGACAGTCTCTTCACCATGCTAGAATGAGAAAGCGCCAGCCCACTTACTTTTTTGGTCATTGTCTTATTTGCTCAAGGTTCCAAGACTAGGGAAAGAGTTCAGGCAATCCAGCTTGATCCATGTGCCCACTCCTTGGTCAGAGGTTTAAAAAAAATGAACTTATTTCTGGTCATTTTTTTGGGGTGGGTGGGTGACGTTAATTAAGAACTAAAAAGCAGGCTTGCTCTATCTATCTGTTCTCTGGGATCTTTGGCATATTATGGAAAGAAGGCAAGCTGGATAAGTATTTCTGTCTAGCTGGTAAACTCTTTGCCTTTAAAGACTTTACTTCTACTTGGGTCCAAAAGGGGTAAGGTATGGGCAAGTAAGTGCAAATGAAGGAGTGGCTTCTGCTCACGGGTGCTGATGGGAGCTCCATGCCAGAGTCAAATAGTGCTGTTTGTAGTCTCTGGAATAGCTGGAATCCTAGAAGCCTCTGGAGAACTGTCCAGATGGTCATTATATGGACCTTCCATTCTAAAACCTCAAGAGGGTTTTCCTGATTCCCACCAGCCTTGTCTCTGTCCCTGGCTCTTATGGAAACTCCAAGGTGTCCTCTCCCTGTGTGCTCTCAGGACAGAAGGGCTGGACAGAGGCACCAGTTCTCAGAGGAACTGCACATGAGGTGGGGAGATAGAGAAGGAAGGACAAAACTGGAAGGAAAAAAAGAAAAAGAAAGAAGGAAGGAGCTCTCCATGTTTTCTGGGCCAACGTGGGTCAGCACATCTTGTGCAGAATAATATTTGGGGGTATTTTAAAGCAATAGCTATCTTGACCCCCCCCCCTCCAGTGTCTATATACTTTTGTACATTCCCTCTGCATTTCAAGGGAAAGAATTTTTTCCCTAAAACCAAACCAAAGTGAACTCTTTAAATTATAAAAAATAATATGACCACTTTACAGATATTTCAATAGGCAGATAAAAGGAAAAAAATCACTCCATAGTTCCATCATTTCTGCAGAGCTACACTTACTTTTATGTATCTCCTTCTCTTCCCATGTGTATTTTTCCTTCCATGAATGTTTTTCTATAATTGCAATAAGGGGGTATATATACTTGCCTATGTGTAAACTTCTTATTTTGGAACAATTTTAGATTTATAGGAAAGTTGCAGACAGTGAGTTCTTATATACCCCTCAGCCAATTTGTTTTCGCTAATGTCACCATCTTACATCTTTCAAGACTAAGAAACCAACATAGTACATTGCTTTTAACTAAACTCTAGACTTTATTCAGATTTTACCGGTTTTGCCAGTAATGTCCTTTTTTCTGTTCCAGGATCCAATCTAGGATAGCACATTGCATTTAGTCGTCATGTCTCCTTAGGCTCTTTTGGTCTGTGATAGTTACTCAGTCTCTTGTTTTTCATGACCTTGATAGTTTTGAGGAGTACTGTTCAGGTATTTTGTAGAACGTCCCTCAAATTGGGTTTGTGTTATGTTTTTTCTCATGATTAGACTGGGGCAATGGATTTTTGGAAAGAATACCACGTGGCGATGTGCCCATCTCATCACAGGGGTGCATAATATCCAAACGGCACCCCTGGTGATGTTAACCTTGATCACTTGGTTAAGGTAATGTTGGCCAGCTTTGTCCACTGTACAGCTGCTATTTCTCCATTTCCATGCTCTTTTTTTAAAAGCAAACCACTAATTCCAGTCCACCCTCATGGGGAGAGGGGATTAAGCTCCACCTCCTGGAGGGGCATAGGATTTACATATATTGTTTGGAATTCTGTCAGGAAGATTTGTCTCTTCTTCCCAATTTATTTATTTATTCAATTCTTTATTTATTAGTATGGACTCATAAATATTTGACATAAACTTTTTCTCTTTTGTTTCATATAACATTGTGTTATAAGGTTTTTTTTCATGTTACCATCCTGGTCTTTATAACCATCATGTTAATGATCGCATCTACTTTTGGATATTTTCCATTAACTTTGTACTCTCATAAATTATGCTTCTGTAAACATCTTTTGAAACAATGTTCTATGATTCTTTGTATTCCAGATCTGGCCTGGTGTCTGGAATACAGAAACATAGTATATATTCAATAGATGTTTATTTGGTATGGATGGATGGACAGACGAATGAATAAATAAATGAATGAATGAATGCTGGGCTGGCAATGTAACTCAGTAGCCCCTTTTTTTTTTTTTCCCCTGCTGAACAGTCTTCTCACTCTTGGCCTATGAAGATTTCAAGTCTAAGTTAAATGTTGAGAAGAGAGGTTTGAGAACTTGCTGGAAATCAAGCTTTGGCTTCCTGTGAACCACACGTAGTTTGTAATAAACAAAGAACCTCAGAACAAGTAAAGATTCTGTACTGTAAGCTATTTTTTTTAAATCTCTGATTGGAAAACATTTGGATATTCTATCAACTTCAGCAGCTTTTCACATAGCTTTATCACTCTTCTCTAAGCTTACCTTGTAGACATAACAATTTTTAAATACCTAGGGTATTTTTAGGACATAGAAATATCTTTGTATCTCCTGGTTTAGTCCCCGGCAAGGAAAAGCTGACAGTTTAATAATAAAGTGAGTGAAGTACATTTGGAATGTTATCTACTCTAATAATGGCTGCTGGACAAAACAAAACAGAAACAGTCGCAGACAAAGCTGAGGGAGGAGAAGGGAGATGAGGACATTTTCATCACTTCAAGATTTGGGAAAGTAATCACTGTAGATATTTGCTGGCAAGAAAAGAGATAAGAAAGCTAAGACGGGACGTAATCAGAGGCAAGGTCAGAACAATCCTGTCCCATGTCCTACAATGTACTTCTGATCATTCTGGTTCCCACTGACAGGCAGAGAGGGAAAAACTATCAAGAACAGAATGTTTCCCAAGTGGTTTTCTCACTCTCCAGGAAGGGTCATGTCTATTTGTTGAACCCAACTGTTATGAATAGTTGAACCCACACAGACTCTGAAGGCATGAGTACGCACAGAATGGTCTGTAGTAGAGTCCTCTGTGGATCCCTGATCTGGGGAAAAACAGCAGGGACACCCTAAAGACAAATTGTGCAGTGAGACTGGAGAGCCCCAGGGTCAGGTGGCTTCATATTCATCTCAGATTTGTGTGAGCTCAGGCTCTTTTGGTTGGAAGAAATCAGATCTGCTCCTGCTGTAGTAAAAAGGTGAAGAACAGTCATTACAGAGATCCATGTGGCAAAGAGGAAAACTGACTAAATTCATCTGACTACAGGACCCCAATATGGGTTGACCCTGTCAGGGCCTCCTTTCTGCCTAAGACCTCAGCATGGGTTCTTCTGGCTTAATTTGGAAGGGCTCGTGTGGGGTCTTTGGGGATATCATTGGGATTTTGCAGAGGGAACACTAATGAGCTTAGGGTGATTAAAGAGGACAGGAAAGACCACTGCTGTAGCAAAGGCAATCCTTGTCAGGAAAGACCCTCGAAGGGTCATTTCATCTGTCCACTTGCCTCCACATAGAACAGGCAATTCCTTACATCCATTCATTCACTCCATTCATTTACTTGTTTGTTTGTTCTATTTGGGAAAATACTAAATAACAAGATTGTGTGAGAAGTGCTCTAACAGGAGGTTTAGAGAGAGTGCCAAGGGCTCACAGTGGGTGGGTACAGTAGAATGCAGGCAGGGAACGCTGTGATATAGCTGAGTTAGTTTTTTAAAAGAGGAAAGATCAAGGTGTATTTAGGAAACCGCTAGTAGTTCAGGGAATGGCAGGAGATCAGGCCATGAAGCTAAAGTGTGGTCATGTATTGAAGGTCCTTTACATGCCAGGAGAAGAAACCAAACTTTATCTTATGGGGAGAGAAATACTGGTGAGTTTTAGGCAGGGGAGTATGACTCCACAGTAATGCTTTCTGTCCTTCCCACTGCTCCAATCTCCTTATTCCCACTATGGAGGGCAATCTGGAACATTTATCAAAATGACAAATGCACGAATCTTTTGTGCCAGCCATTCCACTTTGGATAATTTATCCTACGGATATGCTTGCACCCATGTGAAATGACATATGACCAGGTTTTTCACTGTAGCGTTGTTTGTATTAGTAAAAGATTGGAAACAACTTAAATGTCCCTCAATAGGTAAATGGTTGAATCAATTATAATCTATCCATATAATGGAAAATGTACAGCTATAAAAAAGAATATAGAAACTCTTCATGTAGTGATAAAGAAAATTCTCTAAGATATACTGTTAGGGAGAAAAAAAACAAGAGACAGAAATGTGTATACAGTATGCTAGTTTTTAAAGAAGTGTGAAGAATAGGATATATATATATATATATATATATAAATAATTTGCTTGTATTTGCATAAAGAAACTCTGTAAGGATAAAAAGGAAAGTCACGAGTGGCTACCGAAGGGGGTGAGGCAGAAACAGGGCACATGGCTACAGAAATGGGAGGGACTTTTCATTGTATATCTTTCTGTGGATTTTAAGCATGTTGAATGTATCAGAAAACTACATTTAAATATTAAATAAGGAAGAAAGAAAGAGAGAGGGAGGTAGAGAAAGAGAGAGAAAGGGGAAGTTCTGTTTTTCCCTTTACCTCTGCAGGCCTCATTCTTGCTTTTCACCTTGTCAGGAGTTTCTTTTGGTTAGCTCTGTGGTTGAGGGCTTCCAGTGGTTAAGAGAGACACATACAACTCTTCTTTTAGACCTATGTGTAGACAGACCCATTGTTGGCATCTAGGTTGAATTTCTTTCTTCAGTTTCTAAGTAGAAAGAGGCTGGGAAGTGAGGGACAGAGGAGAGAGAGGTGCCTTTTACTTCCCTGTTTGCCCCTTACCACTGCTAGTGCTGTTTTGTGCTTGCTGTGGAAACAGGAGCTTGAAGGCGAAGCCAGGAGTCTGGCTGTTCCTGCAGTGGGCCAGTGGGAAAATAAAACCATTTGGGAACTACAGGCATCACTGTTTAAAAGGAAGACAGGTGAGAAATTGCAGGAGCTGTGAGAGAAAAGGACAGGACTTTCCTAGGGCTTGTTGCCTAATGGTTACAGGACATCTGTGCTGTGCTATGTTTCAGGCTTGAGTCTTACTGGTCTGCTGTAGCCTCTTGGAGGGCTCGTCACTAAAACTCCCACCTACATCCTAAGAACCTTCTGACCATGCAAGGTTTCTTTTAACACAGGAACTCTCACCTCGCTGGTCTGGTATTAAGTGTACATCCAAAACCAGAGCACAGCTCTCTGTTTTCCGTTCCTCCCTCAGAAGCAGTCCACAGAATTGAGGGAGGCAAGGGTATATGCAAAGCACATCCTCGTGTTCTCCACGCTCTTAGGATACTAGTGCTAGGTAGATTCTTTTTCCTTTTTATCACATTCATCTCTGATCCCAAGAACGTCAAGCTCACAATTGGAATGCTTGGACCATCTGGCAGCTGCTTCACTAAAGCTTTAAAAGCAAACAGTTTGATACCCTGGAGATCAGAAATGGGAGAGGACTATAGTTGATCAGGCAGAAGAGCCAGCAGGATATGGTGGTGGGCATATTGATCCCCTTCTCCCATCCTCTAGGCCAAATGTTCAAAGGAAAAAGGAAGTAGGGTTGCGCCTCACTTTAACCAGGATGCTATAAAAATTATGCCTACTCTTTACACCATTAGAGGGTATAGTAAACCTACAAACATTTGGGGCCACAGAAAATGAAGAATAACAAAGTCAATGCCGGAAAGGATGAGTGCCCAGCTCACAGTTCCCCTTTCTTTGTGGTGTACCCCCAATCCTCAGTAGGGAGTCCCCAACACAGCCATAAGTCTACTGTCTGGCCTGCCTCGCTGGCAGCAGACTCAAGAGGACGGCAAATCCTGCAGCTGAGGTTCCAGAGCTGCTCTGATCTCTGCCCTTCCTGAAACTTAGTTGTTAACTTTCCTTGGATTCTGTAATGTATCCCAGCATCTTTCTAATATCTTGCCCCACTCCCCCACCCCCAGCCTTTTGATCCCTGCTTAAAAATGTCAGAGTCAGAACAAAACATTTGGAATTTATCTTGTTTCTAGAGGTTTTGGGCTAATGAGGTGACAGTGACAATGCTATGCCACACCCTCATCCAAACGAACATAATTTCTCTCCTGAACTACTGCAGCCATCTCCTTAGGATATCTACCACTTCCACTCTTGTTTTACTCTATTTTCTGCAAAGCGGCTGCTGACATTTTAACCAGATCACTCACTCCTCTGATTAAAACTCTTCAATGGCTTTCCAATGTTCTCAGAATAAAATCTAAAATCTTTGGTGCCCCATGTTCTTACAATACAATCTGAAATTCTTAGTAAGTCCTTCTTGCAGTTCCTTGCCCAAACTCCTGTCTTAGGACCATCAGTATATGCTAGTCCCAGTCTGGAGCCCTTTTCTCCCTACCCTGAGCCTCATTTTGGGGGTCTTGGTGGAAGTATCACCTTCTCAGGGGCCTTATTTCTCTCCAATCTAAATTAGGTATCCTTGTTATTTATTTTTTTAACTGCATTGACTCTTTTCCTTCATAGCTATTACAGCTTGTAATTACATATTCATTTTGGTAACTTTGGGCAATGTCTGTCTCCCCCACAAGACCCTGAGTGCCTTAAGGGGCAGGGACTGTCTCTGTTTTGCTCCATGCGATAGCCCCAGAGCCTAGCACAGAAACCAGCATACAGTAGGTACCCAAGTATTAGACGGATGATTAAATAGGAAGAGACGGGAGTGGCTGGCGATGGTTGAGATTTAAGATAAGAAGCTGAAATTGCGTGCTAGTGGTAGAAAAGGAATGAGATACATTTACTTTAAAGAGAAAAATCAACATAACTTGACGACAGGGGGTGGGGAAGGAGATAATGCTTTCCCAGCCAAAAGTGCCACCTGACTCAGAGAGGAAGAAACTAAAATTTCAAACCGGGGTGACTAATGGTTAGGTTTGGGGAAATATGATACTTACGTTGGTTTTAGACATACTGGTTGGAGCTAAGCAAGGGACATCGAAGGGGGAAGTGTTCAGAAAGTTGCAGGGTAAAGCTGGAGCTCCAGCGGGCCAGGAGCATAAAAGAGAAATTCAGAGCTGGTTGTTCACAGAAGTGGGAACTGAAGTATCTAAGACAATTCATATGTTGTGGAGAGGAAGATTCTCCTCGCTTTAAGCGACAGCTACACCAAGGGGACAGGTACGGGGCACACCCCGTGCATTGGAAAGTGCCACAAAGTGCTTCGTACACGAAGACATAGAAATCTAGAGAGGTGAAGTGATCTGCTCAAGGTCACACAGCAAGTCAGTGACAAAGCATTCCAATCTATGTTTCCTGACTTGTAAGGTCCAGTTTTCTTTGCATGAATACACAGAAACTTCCTGAATTTTCAGACACGCCTGCTTTACAGTGGACACTCCATACCAGTTCCTGATAGTCAAGGCAGGCAAATAAGAGGCAGAATTTCATTTCCTTAGTTTATTAATGACGACAATGAACTGTCAGGCTGTGTATGAATTATAACAAGTAGAAACCTAGTTCGGAACACGAGTTGTACACACCCCAGAACATCTCCATTTAGACTCTTGCTCCTTTTATGTTAACTCAACAGAAGCTCTAAAGCTTTGGTAGAGAAAGTCAATAACAGCCTCATTTAAGTGGAAAGTATTTGCCTTCCACTCTTCTGCTATCTCTTAAATCTTGTCTCCACCTTGTAAGCAAACTTCTTTTTCCCTTTATTTATAGAAAAAAACACTTCTTCCTTCCCATTTCATTCAGAAGGAACTCTTTTCAGTGCATTCAAAGCTTCTCCCCACAAGAGCAGGGATTTTCAGATACTGATAAGTTGCAAAGTGCTTTCAAAAAATCTCATCCTCTTTCCTCTCCCCCCTCCCCACTCTCAAATAAATAAATAAATGGGTATTTGGACAGTGATGACAGCACAGTGTCAGGGTCACTAAAACAGATATGCAACCTAAAGGGATGAGGTGAGAGAGGTGGAGAAAAATAAGTGAAAAACCAGGAGGGTGAGATTGTTGAGCTCAGCTTTAGAAACAGTGTCAGCATCTTTCATCCTTTGATCCTATGCTATATGAAACACGCACGACAATAATAAGAGTATATCTCTCCTCCAGTGTAGTGACTTGGAGTAAGGAGCTAGACTTGTAATTTAAACCGAAAGTGGAAGTAGAGCTCACCATCTTCACAAAGCCCTTAGTCTGAATCCGAGGCCTAATCCTCAGTGAGACTTGAGTCTCATAGGGTCATTCCCAAAGCTCCTTGAGGACAAGGGAGCTTCTAGTCCGCCCTTCAAAACTGGGCTGGGCTGGAGGCCTTGGCTTTCACAGCCCCTCCGCCCCACCCGTGAACTGAAGGGAGAACAGCCTGAAGTAGCCTTCAGATCGCAAGTCTGAAGCAGAGGGACCAACACCAGAAGTCAATTCCTCCCTGCTCCCTCTTGTCCTGGTGGAGCCTCAGCTCTGGCTGTTACTTTACTGCCCCTTCGACTTCCTGTGAGACTCCTGGTTGCCTCCAACTCAGGCATTCATCAGCTTCCACCAACCATGTGCAACTTTCTGTTCAGCTTCCTGGGGTAGCACCCACAGCAAGTTTTTCTTACAAGCAACCAGCTACGGAAAGACAGGCATCCAGGAAGAAGTCAGTCCCAAAACAAAAATGCTCTGGGCTTTAGTTCACAGAGCTGCCAGCCCTCAGAGCAGTGATCCTGACCAGTGTTTTACACACAGGTCAGGAAGTACAGCAACTTAAAGAATATGACAAACATATACTCGGTCCCAGCAAAAACTTTTCCCATCAAAACACACATTAAAAAAGGGTGTGTGTGTGTGTGTGTGTGTGTGTGTGTGTTAAAGTTAGTAATAAGAAAAGGATGAGTGAACATATGAATATCACCAGGCTAAAGAGTTAAGTGCATAATTGGCATAAAGGCTCTTGTTATCCCAAGAACACGGGAACATTCGCGCTCACATCCACAAACTGCCAAGTTGTCTGACACCACTAACAGCAAGAAGCTCTTTCCTCAACTTTGACAAAAGAAACTAACGCAAGAGATCAGCCACCAGGGAGGGTCCCAGCTGTGCTTCAGGAGCGGAGGGAGAGCACGGAGTTGGGCCAGGCTTCTACTCAGAACCACACTGACCACCTAACAGAGGACACAGTGGCAAGAGACCCACTGATAAAATGGTGGATGGGGTTTCTGTCCTCAGTTTAGGATGGTGTCAGGAACTTGCCTGAGCTTGAAAGATCAAACCTGCACCAGAGCTATGTTGACTGAAAGGGACCTGATCACCTAAGAGGAGGCCAACAGCCCCTCTGACTGAATAAATGCTCCTTAAACAACAGAGTTGTAGCGTCACTTATGCTAGAAATGGGCCTGGTCTAAGTATCAGTTCTGTTCTTCGTGTCAAGTCCCCCAGGGTAGATAAAGAAAGTCAGCCTGTGACATCATCTATGCCTAGAATATTTCAAACAAGGAAGTCATCACTGCCTCCTTGAGGTCTCTGAAAATTCTAAGGTAGCAATAACGCTGTTTTTATGGCCTCAAAAACACCTAAATAAGAATGCCCATGATGTAGTCCCATTCTCTGCTGCTTCTCCTCAGGGCAGTCTGACCCTATTCCAGGACTGGGAGAGAGAAAACTCCATCCTCCTGTTTCAGCAGCAAAGGAGAAGTGAGTTCGCTGAGAAAGGCCTGGCTCAGAAGCTCCAGAATTACAACAAAATAAAACTGGAAATGATACTTGAGATGCAGCTGAAACCAGATCTGGTCCAAGTGGAGAAGGCCATGGATGTCGGAAGAACTGGGTCTCCCTGTCCATTTTCCTGACAGAGGCACTAGAAGCTTCACTTAGGGACCCATGTGTCAGTTCTGATGGAAATACTTGGTACCTATAAATTGTCACAACAGACTGGACCCCACCAACCTAAATAAGGTTAACTGTACATGGACATTAGACAGGTCGTAAAAATTAATAATGATGATAATAATTAAAAAAAAAAAAAGTGGGGAAAGTCCTTAAAAAGGTGGCTCAGTTCTGCACTATGTGTGACCCTAGCCCCTAGGAAGAGCGCTTTACGTGCTTTCTTCAGGTGGTCTCCAGGATGGCGGCCTCCAGGGCCAAGGCCTCGGTGGGTTCTTCCTCAGAGTCTGACATGTAGGACTCCAGGCTCTGCTTGGCCAGCAACTCCCGCCGGGCCTGCAGCCGCTCACAGCGGGGACAGCTTCCAGACTTGAAACAAGCTTTATGGTAACACGCTTTACACTCTATTCAAGTTGGGAAGGGGAGAGAGAAAAGAACAATTTGTATTATCTCGAACTGGAAGCAAGTCGCTGCCGTAACCCTTCTCACACCACGGCTTGGTGCACCTGTGGGGAAACACAGGGAGCTGCTGAACCAAACCAAACTCTTACTAATAGGGGTGGCTGACGGGAAATAAATGAGCCTTGTGTTCTGTCTTGTTTGCCCACCCCACCGGGCACCAGCCCTCACCTTCACAGGTCCGGCACTTATGGAGCTCAAAGGGAAAGATGATGTCATCCGCATTCTGACAGAACTCACAGATGAAGCCCTTGGCTTGGCAGAGCTGGAGAGGAAAGACACAGGCAGCAAAATGAGGCAAAGCACACCACAGGAACTGGCCAAGAGGGTGAACACAAGCGAGGGGAGGAGCAAAATATAAATAAGTCTTGAGGGACTCGAACGTGTTCTCCCACCTTCAGGAAAGAGACCCAGGCTGGACTTAGCATGATAGCCAAACTGGGGCCAGGGCTGGGCAGTGTTGCCGGGCAGTGTTAGACAAAGCTTTAAGGTGAAGACAAGAGAGGCAAGAGTTTGAGAAACTCCAGCCGTGAGAGTGGTTCTCAAAGAAGAGATGAAAAGAAGGAAGGAACGATGCCACAAAGGGCTTCCTAAAGTCAAAATTCCAGCCTGGGTAACAATTTTATTTTGAAATAGGAAACAAACCAATTAAGGTAAAATGTAAAGGCAAGTACAGTTCTCCAAAATAACACCCAGCCTTGAGTCAGGTTACAGTGAAGTCTTTCCAATGCCCCCCTGCTACATGGGACTTCTACATATGCCCCATTTTAAGCTCTAATTCTGGGACTGTTACAGGAACACAAACTGGACATATTCTAAGATGGGAAATTCTAAATATGGAATTTATGAATTTCTGGTATGTTGGATACATCAAGAACAATGATAACTTGCATCTACAGAATACTTTAAGTTTACACAATGCTTTCACATAAATTATTTCATCAATCCTCAAAAATACTGAGAGGAAAGGACAGTGGGTATTAATCATTATCTCCATTTTAGAGACAAGAAAATTGAGGCTTACCTCAGAGAGGGCAAAGTATTTCCTTTGATCACAGTGATTGAAAATGATAAAGCCAAGACCCAGTCCCTCTCCAGAATCTAATCCAGGGTCCTCCTCTCACATCATGACAACTTTTTAGCGAAGGCCTGCTTAGTCCTGCCCATTTCCCAGGAGAAATGCCAGCACCAGATCACCTTCTAATTCTAGGTTCCTTAGAGCTGGATGATTTAGCTGTTCAGCAACCCAGGGAAGAGCAATCCTGTACAGTTTTTCTCACAGTGTTGACAAGCCAATTCAACTTCCTGGAACTAAATGCCAAAAATCCTGGATGCACGCTACTCTCGGTGCCCCGAAGCAAGGGCCCAGCAGCACGTTAAAGTGAGAGTTTCTTACCATGCATCGCTCTACGTGGGCAGCCCCCGCCCTGGTGAGGTCAGCGAGCCGGGGCCCCAGCTCTCCCTTCCTGGCTGCAGTCAGGTCATTCAGCGAGTACAGGTGGAGATCCTCTGTCAGGTGGCCTGGAACTGTGTCAAAGGAGTCCAGAAGCCTGCAGGAAATGAGGGGAAGTGGGTGGGAGCGGAGAACGAACACTTTGTGTGGCACATCAGGGCAGAAGGATTTCTATCCAGAAGCAGGACAGGGAAGAAAAGCGTCCTAGGCAGAGTAATGAGGGTGGGTAACATTCAGCCAGCCCAGGCCACCTCAACCCTCCATACCACCAGGTGTCTGGAGGGCAGAAGTGACTTTTAGGCCCTTCTGTAGTGATGCATGTCAGCCTGCAAAGAGTGGTGGGCCTGCCCTGGGTAGAATAACCAGATCTCCCCTTCCAGAGAGAGGGACACAGACACAGTTACTGCTGTAGGCTTCTCATTGACCATTTCTGGAATTTTCTGCAAGATCCCCCTACTCTCCTGCTTCACATAACAAGGGCCAAATGCTGGGACATGTTTCTTTCAGAGACATTAGCTCAGCCAGAGGCCTCTGGCCTCCACACAAGACTTACTCTTTGGCCAGTCGGCACGTCTTGAACATGTTCTTCATGTGACACAGCTGGACCCGCAGCAGCTGAAGAGAACGGCATTGTGGTGGTAGGTGGGGAGTCAGAGGGGTGTAAAGAGGAGAGAAACCACCGTTAGAAAGGCCAGTACCTTTAAACCCTGCGTGTCTGGAGGCTTTGCACGAGGCAGCCAGAGCCAGACTGTTCTCTATACCTGTAACTCAACAACTCGCTTCAAAGGCACCCCCAGTCAGGGCAGGGCCCTCTGCTAGGTCAGTCTGCCCAGATCACATACACAGCTGGGAGCTGCTGAGAAGTCCAGAATCTGAACTTCCAACCCGACACCCCATTCTCCGTTCAGTAACATTTTCAGGGAAGGGAGAAATCCTGCTTTTGCCATCGTTATCTATAGCTTTCAAGCTGCCTTGCCAGGTTCGAGACTCTAACTAGACAGATACCTCGAAAATGGCATGAAGAAGTACGTAGAGAAAGTGAGAATGATGAGACGGTCACAGCGCTACCATAGCGACAAAGAGGAGTGTGGTGATATTGGGCAACCTCTATGAACAGAGGGTAATCTACGACGTGACCTTTTCAAGGGTCTTACCCGGACTTGATTGAGCAGCTTGACCTTCCTATAGAGGGCACTGTTGATGTCCTGCACATTGAAGAGAGGATCGTTCCAGATCTTAATGAGCAGGTCCTTGGAGAAATTGCTGACGTAGTACTTGCTGAAGTCCCACTTGCGCAGAACTCGGCTGGGGATAACCATCTGGGCATTCTCGTGGCAGCACTGACAGAAGTACTTGCCCAAGTACTCGCAGTACCGCAGCCGCTTGATGTAATCTGAAAAAGACGGAAAGTCAGAAGGTCAGAGGTGGCTTTCCCATCTATAAGCTGGTGAGGCAGCCCTGCTGTTCCTTTTGAAAGAGGAGGAAGGGATGGCCAGTGGGCTCCAGCCACCTCTGTTTGAGCTCCCAAAGCTGCCAGAAACCGACATAGTGGGGCCTGTGGTTTCTGTGTCCCAGCCTGGAGGCCGCTGAGGAAACAAGTGCTGCCACAGTTGGTAAGATCCAGCCTCCAAGGACCTGGCTGAGGGTACACAAGGTTCTCCAGTACACAATCCTGGTAATGGGCTCCTAGAAATCATTTCCCTCTGATTACCAGCACTGTTGCCTAGTAGTACCCCTTTCCGTCCTCCAGGCCTCTTCTTTCCCTTTCCCCAGTTCTGCTCTGTCACCTCCTCTTACTACTTCTCTGACCAGCTCCCTCACCCAGGTGTGTGACAGGGTAAAGCCCTTGGAGGCAGCAGGGGAGGCCAGAGAAGACGCTCACCAGGGTCACTCCGGATGCCACATCCTGCACAGCGGTAATTCTGCTTGGCCACAGCGATTTTCCTCCTGAGGAAACGGGAAGGAGAGGGGATTGGCAGATACCAGCTGCATGAGGTCTCTGAGACGTAAAGGATGGGGATACAAATACAGGGCTCCCATAAGGATGGGAAGAGAGGGGAATTCACCTATTTTTTTAGAGTTGGACAAAATGAACCTATTGGGAGAACCAATTTAAACCAAGGATTGTAAGGTTAGAATTTAGGTCTAGGCAGTGACTCTCCCCAGTAATGAACCACACTTTCTGTACAAATGTAAGAGGTGAGAAATAGTAAAGAGGAGAGCACAAAAGGAAAGAAAAGCATCCATCCATCTTGAGGAAAAAAAAAAAAGCTCATAAAACTATTGGGAGGAAAGCAATAGGTTGGGAGGCCAGTGATAAAAGAGCTCATTTCTGGGGCTTCCCTGGTGGCGCAGTGGTTGAGAGTCCGCCTGCTGATGCAGGGGACATGGGTTCGTGCCCCGGTCCGGGAAGATCCCACATGCCGCAGAGCGGCTGGGCCCGTGAGCCATGGCCGCTGAGCCTGCGCGTCCGGAGCCTGTGCTCCGCAACGGGAGAGGCCACAACAGTGAAAAGCCCACGTACCGCCAAAAAAAAAAAGACCTCATTTCTGGTTAGCTCTGGGAAGGAATGGAAGGACTAAGAGTAAAACTCGCAGACAAGGGACTTCCCTGGTGGTCAAGTGGGTAAGACTCTGTGCTCCCAATGCAGGGGGCCCAGGTTCAATCCCTGGTCGGGGAACTAGATCCCACATGCATGCCGCAACTAAGAGTCCGCATACTGCAACTAAGACTCGGCGCAGCCAAAATAAATAAATGAATAAATATTAAAAAAAAAAAACTCGCAGGCAAGTAGGTAACTCTCTCCCTCTGCCTTTTAGAATTGTATGGGAGGTACAGCAGCAGGTAGGGACAATAGGGTGAAGAGAAGGCTCTGACAATCCAAAGAGAATGTATCTGTTTGTCAAAGGGCACGGCCACTGACTACTCACGTTGGGGCTGGATGAACATTAAAAATTATCTGAGGCCGGGGTGGGGCCCACTCCAGGTTGCCTCGAACACGAATACGTAGCTTGTAGATGTCAGCATGCTGCCCGTCATCTGGTGAGATGGGCAGTGAGTCAGGGATGGGCAGGAGCTGCAGGAGAAAAGCACAGGGTGATCCACCACGGACAATCTGGGGGAATACATATGCCTGACCCTTCTGGCCATGGCAGAAGCATAATTAATGAAAGCCGTTTCAGGAACACCATAAGCAAGGGCTTCAGGGAACCTTGGCCCTCGAAATAAATGATAAGGCACCAGGCTACTAGAAGTGAGGGTCTTGGGCTCCAAGAATCAAAAGGAACAGAAACGGCCTCCCAGTGGGGTGGCACCCCTTGATAATGCTGTCCCTGAACCCAGCCCGGGACCCTTGGTGTGCCAGGGTGCTTCATGCCTTATTCAACTGCAGAGCAAAGAAGAACCTGAATAGTTCACTTTTCCAGTGTCTCAAGGTGGTCACAACACAGGAGTGCTGCCCCCGGATCTAGTGAGCAGTCATGTGGAATAAGGACACTGGAGGAGCCGTTATCTCCTATCCTGACGATGGCTAGGGGAAACCTAGGCAAGCGTGCACGCATTCCTTCATTTATCCGACATACATTTGTAATGAATGGCTTCTAAAAGTAAGGAGGGAAACATGGAGGCTCATTCTAAACTGGAGACGTGTAATAAAGGAGAACAATATCAGAAAGGCTCACAGCCTCCTGGGGCTCGACGCTGGGTGGAGAAAAAGACTTGAAGAATCTACCTTCTGAGGGGCATCGTGCTCTGGAACAAGCCACTCTAGCTCTGAGGCGGCTGGGAGCTGCATCCCCTCAAACTGCTTCAGGAGCCCCATGGCCACTGCCTCAGCAGACGTGGAGTGTAGGAAGCAGTGAGAGCTGAAACAGAGAGTCAAGGAAGACTGAGCATAGAGAGAAGACAGGAGGATGGGAGCCCTAACTTCAGGACCCGATACCATACACAGTGATTTATGGACTGAGAGAACACTCACAGCACCCCCAGTCCACTCAGCTTCCTTTCTCATCATCCTCAGACATGTGAGTATAGAGCAAATTACACAGGTCCACACATAGTTTTAAGACTTAGGCTCAAATCCCACTTACTAGCATTCATGGCACTGCTGGTTAAGAATTCTGTCAAATCCTTTCTCTAAACTTCACTTTCTTTTTTTTTTTTAAGTAATTAATTTATTTATTCATTTATTTATTTATTTATTTGTTGGCTGCGTCGGGTCTTCGTTGCTGCATGCGGGCTTTCTCTAGTTGCAGCAAGTGGGGGTTACTCTTCGTCGCGGTGTGCGGGCTTCTCATCGCAGTGGCTTCTCTTGTTGTGGAGCATGGGCTCTAGGTGCGCGGGCTTCAGTAGTTATGGCTCACGAGCTCTAGAGCACAGGCTTAGTAGTTGTGGTGCACGGGCTTAGTTGCTCCGCGGCATGTGGGATCTTCTCGGACCAGGGCTCGAACCCATGTCCCCTGCATTGGCAGGCGGATTCTTAGCCACTGCGCCACCAGGGAAGCCCTAAACTTCACTTTCTTTAACTGCAAAATGGAGATGACAACACCTGTTTACAAAATAGAGTGAGTCAAACTGCTTTGTGGACTATGAAGACTATTGTCACTCCCGCATGAACTACTATTTCCTCTAGTTGAGTCTACGTGGAACCTGTTCAATCTGATTTCATAATCAGAAATCGTGATCACTGTTCTCTCTTTTGAGAACTGATCTTCTGGGAGCCTCTGGTATAATCAGAGTTAGCAGAGAAGAAATAATCCACACTGCGAGCTTTGCCTCCACCGGAGCCCAGCCTGTTTGATCCCATGATCTTCTGCTCTCTTCCCTGGACTCACCACCATCAGGCAGGCCTGTCACATTAAACTTGCCTCTTTGTGAATTCAGATGGCTTCATCCCATGGCCTTCCCATCCATATGCCAAGACCTGGGTTTGTTTCTCGACATATCCCAAAGTTTTATTTAAAAAAAAAAAAAGTACTTACAAGGACTGGGAGGAAACACATGATTTGTTGTTTGAGAGTGTGCTCCTTCTGATGTCAGCATCTAAATGCAAACAAGAGTTAAGGGGAGCAGGAAATGGAAAGGGAGGAGGTAAGGGATAATAATGGAAAGCAGTCCAAGCTACTGGCAGCTAAGCACTCAGGGCAGCAGCTAGGTGCTACATTCTATGCAGGATACGGAGCAGAGTCCAGGTGAAGCTTTACATCCAATTTATAGTTTGGCTCTGTTCAAGTCACAACAGACTGAATTGGTGACATTATGCATAGCATTGAGAAGGTCAAAGTGGCTACAACTCCAGGTGGAAACACAAATTCACATTTAGTGCAAAGCAGTGAAGGAGAAAATGAAGCATCCTAAGGCAAACAGGGACACACTCTCTACCAAGCAGCAACAAATGACTCCAATTTCTCTCATTCTCTAAATCTCAAGTGCTCTTAAATGATAAACTCTCAGAGTCAAGAACTCTATCTAGCTCTTTGTTTTATACCAGAATCAGTACCTAACACAGAATTTAGGTCACAGAGGTTACTCATTAAATGTATGTGGAATTGAAACTTTGCTTCTAACATCTGACCACTATTGCTATTAACCACTGAATGTGAGAAGTCTTCCATGTCCTTAACAAAGTTTCACGGAAAGACTCCCTTCCTGTCCGGTGGCACAGAGGAAAAAAAAGAACTTCTCTATGGTTTGGCAACTCCCTGAAGATGCCTGGTAAACAACAAATTTTCATGGAGCTATTCAACATGATCTTTACTAAAGAACTCTCAAACATAATTTTAGGAACCTACGGCAGACTTTCCAAAGTCTATTCCCAAGAAAGAATTTTGAAAAGGATTTCTAATAATGATATGCCTAAATCTCTAGAGACCTCATCTACCCAAATAATTTTAATGGGGAGAATGTGAAACATAACAGTCATGTTCAAGAAAAGCAGATACTGCCTATTCAAGTCATGAAAACAAGACTGTTCTGATAAGTCTCATCCCTCACTTCCTTTGATGCCTAGTGAAAGACTTTTCCTAATTAAACCTACACAATGATCAATCTACTGCATTTAAACCCCTCAATAGAGCGCTAAGCTTACATGACATCATTCTGCAGTTGGCCATGAGTAGCTCAATTGTTCTTCATGTTTCCTCTGTATACATATACGTTTGTATGTACCACTAGATTATAATATCTCGGTGTGAGGAAATGAGATCGTGTCTAATTCTTCTGTTTGGCCCTGAAATACTTAACACAGTGCTCTGTATAACAGCATATTCTCAAGTAATATTCCTGAAAAATCAATGTCTTCAAAGCTATAAACACAAATAAGAGAAAAGAATTGAAATCTCTCAGTTTTCATATGCTCTCTAAGCATAGAAAAACTTAAGATAGCAACAAAATCTTTGACTAGCAAATAACAAATCCTACTTCATTTAACAAAGAAGTTCATGTATATCATATACTCTGTCTGAATTTGTGCCACTCAAATCCAGTTCCCAATACACTGGCTAGCTCTGTATTCCATTCTAAATAGTGCTAGAAGAGAAGGAAAAACTCTAGGCAATAGTAGACCTTCATAGACCATTGGGTTTGCAACGTTGATTTGAGTAACACTAAACTGCCTTGGATCATATGTAAGTCTTGCCTTGTCCTTAAAATCCTCAAAGAGCTTTGTACATAATAGGTTTCCAAAAAATATTTCCTAAATAAAAAATTGTCTAAAAGCAAAAGGCAAATTTCAGCCTGTTTACGAGTGATAGAAAAGGAAAAACCAGACAAAAATCTTAGACAGATATCTTGAATAAAGAGCTAACCAACATGGTTACTTGAGGGCCAGGCTACGAAAGAAAACATGGCACGCCAGAGAGGAGAGGCGGTTGACAATTCATGGTTGCTGAAAACCGCTGTCTTCATAAAAACTATTCAGCAGTTCTTCAGCCTCACAGAAAGGAAGCCTTCTTTTCTTTGAGAGAAAAAATAACACTCTCTCCTCTTTGGAAAATAAAGTCAAGTCACACTTTATCATGTTTCTTCTTTTTTACCAGAGGTGCAGTGATCTCCTGGCTAATCATGAATATTTCCAAGAGTGCAGAAGACTACACGGGTTTGGAAGCGAGGATCTTACCCCAAGAGCGGAGAGGGAGAGGCAGCGCCTGATACCAAAAGGGACATGACACCTGTCACTGGTCAGTACCATGAAGGCCTCGTGGGTACTAGGCCTTTCTGCTGTATCCTGCTCACTCTCTAGTCAGTACAAGCAGATGATTAGGTTAATGTGGTTGGAACACTAGTTGAGGATCTGGATAAAAGTAGACCAGGGTCTAGGATAATTAAGGAGTAAAGAGACAGAAGAAAGCTACTCAACTGAATGGATTAAACATACCCCAAATGAGAGCACTTGAGAAAGAAGTCTGAGAAGCACTCCTTCCAAATAGAAGTTAACATAATTATGAAACTTTTTATCAATTCTTTAACAAGAACCGATTTCAAATGCGCCTGATGCTTTAGATAGGATAAAGCTATTACTACTGACTGGAAAAAGTTCAAAAATATAAAGACAAACAACAACAAAAATAATGACAGGTTGTAAGAAGAATTTTTGCATGTCCAGATACCGGTATTGGGATGATCAAGGAAGAACTGGTTAAAACCTTGGTACCCTAGCAAAATCTGCACATTTTTAAACAAAATAAGTGAGGCACAAGAATAGCGTCAACTTCAGAATCTACTGGCCAATCTGATGTTGCTTTGCAGCCTGTTTTCCTTTTAGCACATAAGGGGATACCCAACACATCCAGAAATCCAACTCTAATGAATGTTCTGTAACTGCTGACTCAAGAGGAAACACTTTAAAATGGAGAGCCACAATTACTCTTGCCTTAGAAGGAGAAAACAACTTATTAAAAGAGGGAAGGTGGGGAGGAGCAACAGAATACCCAAAATATAGTTCATGAACTTTCCTCTTTATATATTGTGCCAGTTTTCAATTTATTGCCTTTCAGCTCCCAACCTGCCCTTCTTTTTGTCTGCTCTGTGATAATGGAGCTGGACTTGAAAACACTTATCTTTTGCCAGCTGGCACAATGTTCACCTTCGGCAGTAGAGGGCGCTGGAGGGACACTGGAGGAGGAAGGGGTTTCTCTGGCTGCTGGTGCGCTCCCGTAAGAGGACTCCTGTGGTGCAAGTGACTTTCCCCAGGGTAAGCATGGCTTCAGGAGGCTTTGCAGCAGGGCGCCACTGATGGTACTTTTCATAAGTGGCTTCCCTTGGACCCCTGGGAAAGCTTCCGAGCCGGTGTTGCAGGCCTGGCCCCTCCCATGAACCACTTCCCCCAGCACCCCTTGAGTTCTGAGGCACAGCACCCCCTGGGGGCAGCCTCCTCCTGCACCCCAAAGAATGGTTTCCTGAAAAGGGCTGTTGCCATGGCACCCCTCATGGACAACATGCCCGGACATTCTCTCAGGGCAGTTCTGCACCTTCAGAAAACTCTACCATCCAGTGAGCAAGGAGGTCTGGATCGCAGCCTCGGGGTATGGCCCTCTTCTACCTTTGTTCCTCCACAGGGGGCTCTATCTCAGCCCTAGGGATGGTGACTGCTGCCTATATCTGCTATTCCTGTATTCCTTAGAGTTCTCTTTACTCCTTATGAGCCAGTCTCCCATTACTTCAATCCCCCATCAGAGTTAATAATTCTTTATATTAAATTTTCCCTATTCAAGTTATCATATGGTTTCTGTCTCCTGACTGGACCCTGACTAGGTACATATATGCAGAGATTGAAATTCTAAAAGAAGGAGGATAAAGAAGAATTGATGAAGTTGTAGTGGAAAAGGATGAAGGGAGGAAAACAACAACAACAAAATCCTAAAACCAAAGACGCTGAAAAGACTGTCTGGAATTGGGAGCCCATGAATGATATCATATCAATTTGGCAGACACCATCAGAAGATACAGATGAAGTGAAAGAAGCCAGACACAAAAGATCACATACTGTGTGACTGCATTTACATGAAATGTCCAGAAAAGACAAATCTATAGAGATATAAAGATTAGTGGTGGACTGGGACTTGGGGTGGGAATGTAAATTAACTATAAATGGGTGTGAGGGATCTTACTGGGGTGATAAAGATGTTCTGAAACTAGATTACGGTGATGGTTGACAACTTGGTAAATTTACTCAAATTTAGTGAGTTGTACACTTAAAGTGGGTAGATTTTGAAGTGTAATTATTCCTCAGTAAAATGTTTTTTTAAAAAGGGAATAGATGTTAACGAATACAAAGCTTTCTATGAATAAGCTATGATCACAAGTTTACATCCACTTTACTGTGAGGAGGAAGTAACTTTCAAAACTATTTCCTTCATAAACACTTCTGCTCCATAAGGTCTACTTGCTGAATTAGGATCTAAGAAAAATGATTACATTAAGCAAAGTATTACAATTATGCAGAGTATTTATCACAGATGATGTCTATACTACGATGCTTAAGTAATTTTTCCACGGGTGTTATGGATTCTGATAACCTTCCTCTGATAGAATCCCAAGAGATTCTTCAATAGCATATATTACTTAAGGTGATCAAAAAGAAAAGCATCTGTAAGCCTCTGGACATGATCAAGAAGACTGCTAATGAGAAGTATACCGACACTTGTTAGAAGGAATTTGGTCCCCAGTAATAAACTTGATTAAAGACCAGAAACAAATGAAAAAGAACACAAAGCAATAAAGAAACCTACAGTAGAGAAAGATGAATTGTAAATTATGCTTTCAGAGAAAAACAAATACCGTATGCTAACACATATACATGGAATCTAAAAAAAAAAAAAAAAAGACACAGACCTACTAGACAATGGACTTGAGGACACGGGGAGGTGGAAGGGTAAGCTGGGACAAAGTGAGAGAGTGGCATGGACATATATACACTACCAAATGTAAAACAGATAGCTAGTGGGAAGCAGCCGGTGCTTTGTGACCACCTAGAGGGGTGGGACAGGGAGGGTGGGAGGGAGGGAGACGCAAGAAGGAAGAGATATGGGGATATATGTATATGTATAACTGATTCACTTTGTTATAAAGCTGAAATTAACACACCATTGTAAAGCAATTATACTCAAATAAAGATGTTAAAAAAATTATGCTTTCATAATCGGGAATCTGTGTGTAGGAAGTCAAACAAGTCACTACTTTGGAGAGAGGGTTGTTCTGATTGCTTTCCCTCCAAGCCGTCAAAATGTGTTGGGATTGTGGATCATGAGAAAAAGCAGTACTTTAGTTGAAAAATATTTCAAATTCTTGGTGTATAAAAAATGCTTTAAAGCTCCCAAAATGGGTGAAGAAAGGATGCTAGGAAGACCAAATAAAAGTATGCCTTATGGTTAAAGCAGACTGACGACTATGCTCTAACCAAGAAGTACCTGACGGTCAGTAAATGCACATGCAAACGGTTCTGGTTGTAAACACATCAGAAACCAGTTTAAAAGTGACTTAGGGGAATTCCCTAGCAGTCCAGTGGTTAGGACTCAGCGCTTTCACTGCCTGGGTTCGATCCCCGGTCAGGGAACTAAGATCCCTCAAGCCATGTGGCATGGCCAAAAAAAAACCAAACTAAAAAAAAATGACTTATGATTGTTACTTCTCAAGCAAGAGAAGACTGTTAGAATAAATTACAACAGTTCAGGAGTAAAAGGTACCTAATTACTTTTATTTCTCTAAATCTTAATTTAATCTTACACATGTAATTATTTCAAACTCTAGTGGCTGAAAATATTAACCGTTAAAATTAACTGTTAATTAAAATTTTAAATTAATAAAATAATTAACTATTGATCAAATTAATAAATGCCCTGAATTTTGTTGTTTGTGTGTTTTAAAGCCACTGTGAACAGAAAACTGCTACTTTTAGTCAACTCCACCTACAGAAAGTCTACTTGTTTGGATCACAAAGCAGTTACTAAGGCCAAACATTTGCAGCAATAAATCCTAATTGTACACAAAGTACCTAGAAGAGATAGCTTTCTGAAAGTTGGCTCTGCAAATTCAAAACTCTAAAGAGACTCTAAGCTTCATACCATTCTATAGGACTTTTGCTGTCTGAATGTGTGGCAGTATTTAGCTATAGGTTTGAACTGTAATTTCTTCACCTGACCACTCCTTTCTAAACTGTCCACTATCTCCATCAGCCACAATGACCACTTAATCTAAAAGTATCACTGTAGAGAAGGATTAACAAGGATAATCTCAGTGAGGATTACTGGGGTCATATGAGGAAGAAGAAAATGAGTATCTGAAAAAATGGTACAAATGAACTTACTTAAAAAAAAAAAAAACAGAGCCACAGATCTAGAAAACAAACTTACAGTTACCAGGGGGGAAAGGCGGGGAGGGATAAATTGGGAGATTGGGATTGACATATACACAGTACTATATGTAAAATAGATAACTTAAAGGACCTACTGTATAGCATAGGGAACTCTACTCAGTACTCTGTAATGACCTGTATGGGAAAAGAATCTAAAAGAGAGTGGATATATGTATATGTACAGCTGATTCACTTTGCTGTACAGCAGAAACTAACACTTTAAATCAACTATACTCCAATAAAAATTTTTTAATTAAAAAATAAAAAAGAATAAAAGAAAGAAAGAAAGAAAATTAGTATCTAATTTGTTCCCAGTTAGCTTAAGTCCAGTTTTCCCCAGATAGTTCTCCAGACGTTACAGTCCTCATAACTCTGACAGGTATCACAGGTATGTACAAAAGCTGGTGCAAACATTCACACACATGCATGTATGAGCACACCCACGCTTCCAACACAGGCTACCTGAAAACAGCGAGGCCACTGATACTGAGAGTCCATTCTTTGACATGTGAGTCAGGTTAGATCCTTCACTACCATCTGTATAATAATGATTATAAAAGGGTGCCCTTTAGTATTCAGACAGGAAGTAAACTGATGAGAATGACAGTTCTATACCACATGTTCCTGGAATCAGGACTTGACTTTTGCTCCAAAAGATGGCACTGCTTTTAGAAACCTACATCCATAGTTAGGTTCTCACGTTGGCTTGGGAGACAGTTACTGCTGCCTCCCCAAACCAGCCTAGCCTTAAAGACCTCATAAGGCAGTGGTTATCAACCAGGGAGGATATTGTACCCACTGCAGATATTTGGCAATGTCTGAAGACATTTCTGGTTGTCACAACTGGGGAGAAGGGTGGTATGCTACTGGCATCTAGTGGGTAGAGAAGCCAGGAATGATGCCTTAACACTGTACAATACACAAGACAGTCTATCACAGCAGAGAAATACCTGGCCTAGAGGTTGACAAGCCATGCCTAAGGTCTTTTCCTTTAAGGATTTCCGTCTGAACTGACTAGAGAGTTAGTTGATTAAACACCTCCTCTGGGGCCACAAATGCAGCAACAGTTTCCAATGGGAGTACACCTCATGCCACCCCCAGGCAGGCTATTTCAAATTTGGCTCCTTTCAGTCTGAACAACTCCCCCTGGCTCCTTGCTTTGCTGCAAGGAACAGACTTCATAGTCAAGTGGACTGTTCCACACTCAGTGAAGTAGCATGTTTTGGATTTACCTTATTATTACCCACATGAAATTCCAACTGCTGATCCTGAGAGAAAGGGCAGAGCCCTCCTATTTTCTTCTAATTTGGAGATCAAGTCAATCACAGACTGTGGTATAATAAAAAAATATATATATATTTGGTCTCTGTCCAGTTTCTGGCACAGAGCTCCTATAACCTTTGGAATTTCCTGAGTGATAAGAATGTCTGTTATTCATAATGAGCCCCTTTCCATTATATCCGAGCTTAAGTTAATGAAATGACTGATGGGGACACGCAGATAGCTTCAGGATGGCGTTGGCTGCCAGAAGAAAAAGCTATTTAGAAGATCAGACCTTTTAGCCCCACCTCAGGAACTCAGTTGCCACTGGCCAATGATTTAATCACTCATGCTTACTGAATGAACCTTGATAAAGATGAGGTTTGGAAGGGCTTCCTGGTTGGTGAACATATCGATGTACTGGGAGAGTGGCACACCCTGACTCCATGGAGACGGAGGTTCCTGTGCTCAGGATACTTTGGGACCTTGCCCTATGTACCTCCTCTTCATGTGACTACTCATTTGTATCCTTTATAATAAACTGTAATCATAAGTATAGCGCTTCCCTGAGTTCTGTGAGTCATTCTAGTGAATTATGAAACGTGAGCAGGGAGTTGTGGGAACCCCTGGGTTGGCAGTTGGCCAGGGAGAAGTACAGGCATCCTGGGAACCCCATTGGCAGCTGGCATCTGAAGAGGGAGCCATCTCGTGGGACTGAATCCTAAAGCTGTAGGGTCTGTGCTGACTCCAGGAATTAGTGTCAGAATTGAAATGTAGGACACTCATTTGGTGTCAGAGAACTGGAGAACTGTTGGAAAACCACATACAAAGGAAAAAATGGAGTTTTAAGTGACTATCATTGTTATAAATAGAAATCAGATGCATTGAGGAGAACACAGAAGGAAGACTTCCTGGAGACCTGGAAAAATATGTGTAAAAATTGTATTTCTGAATGGGGAAGAAACTCAGCTACCATACCTGGAGCTGAATGGGTTCTCGAGATTGGCGTAAACAGGAAATCAGAGCCTCATGCAGTAAAAGATCTATTTACCATCATGTTACAATGGAAAACTAGACACAAGTCATCTCTATAAGAAAATTAGTCTTGGTTCCAGCCATGGGGGAAGAACTTACATCCCTGAACTGCCTGTTTGGTTTTCCATCTGTTCATTTGTTGATTGCACTGACAGGAAGTTGAAGAAATTTATGATTTTCAGGAATGGATTAACCCATTAATCATGGGTTAACCTGATTTAACACAACTGCCTTTCCAGATAAGAGCCCCTCCCCTTCTCTAAGAAGAAGCTCACAACAAGAGTGTGATTCTGCTATGCAAATTAGCGCTGGTAGGACAGAAAATAAAGCTCCACTTTGTAAACTTGATTTTTTTTTTCCTTTTTGCTTTTTCCCTCCCAGTGACTCTTTCTGTCATTTTCTATTTGGATTATAATAAAGCTCCTTTTAAACACTTTGAAACAATTTCAGTTGTGTTATAGGACACAAGAGAATAGAATTCTAATTTCATGTAGATGTGGGCTAGCTCTGGACTGCTAGTAGGAGGAATTAGAGTGAGAATCTGAGAGAAAGGTGCAACTGAGGAAGAAGCATCATGGTGACATCAATAGCCATCCCACTCCAATGGAATACTTCCTTTTAGTGTTCTTTTCTGCTTAAATTTTAAATAGGCTTTGTTTTTAACAAGAGAAGTTATCTCTTACAACAGCCGACAACATACCATAATGAAGCATAATGAAGACCCCCTGCTTAGGGAAAGCTTCTCAGCCTATGATTCCAAATTAAAAGAAACAATTAATGAAAGTTCCCTTGCAAAGTGTTAATTCATACCTTGGATTTCAAATTCATCAACCTCATCAGCAGAGCCAGAGTCAGAGAACTGTGCTGAATCACGTGAACTGAACTGGGAGCTGCTGGAAGTGACCCGAAAGCCTGTTACATTAAAAAAAAAAAAAAAAAGTAATAAATAGGACAGAAGAGGTCTCCTACTCTTTCTAGGGTCACAACAAAAGGGACCTGGTATGACTTGAACATAGAAGTAAATAGAACCTTGGCTGGGAGTTATGCTGGGGAAATGGAAACTAGCTCTTCTTGCTAGTTTCCCCTTCTTGATTGATCCCCTAAAAAGTTTCATGTGAGCAGAAAGTACCACTCTCTGGAAAGTGAATCTGGAACCAGTGGCCTTAGTTCTCCTCATATCAGAAACCTATTTTTTGGAAGATATTTCTGATATCTATTTCTTTATTTATAGGTATGTATATATATATATTTAAAAATGGTAAATGCTAATTTTAATAACAAAAGTTGTACTAAATGTACATGAAAGTTAAATTAACACAGTACAGAAGAGAATAGCTTAAATAAGCTGGGATTCACATATTACAATAACGAAGTTATGACCAAATGAACTGAAGACATGAACAGTTCTCAAAATTCTCTTTTCGGCCTACTTCCAAAAGAAATAGCCAGGCTTTTTTCCTGTGCATAGTTTTGAGCTTTGTCTATACCATATATAGTAGAAAAATAAATTCTTTAGCAACCTAGAAAGTTTATAAAACTCTTAAAGTTTAATTTTCTTTGCCAGACATGCCGACGTTAAACTGACAGCTATAAATTAAAGCTATATAGACAATAGGTATAATATAGAACAAGTTAAGAATACTACATTTACTAGATTTTTCTTTTTAAAAATTACTGTACTTTCTTAATTCCTGTGCTTTGCAATAGGAATAATAGGGACTTTGTTTTCTTAGAAAAGATAATAACATGTAAGAGTATAACACAAATAAGATAATTTATAATATACATGTAGAGGTAGGAAATGGATGAGCTCTAGGACTCTGGTCTGGTAGAAAAAAAGAAAAATTAGAACAACACAGAAAATCTTTCTGACAGCAGAGGAACCCTTGGCTTGTGTATAACATCTCACATGAACATACGAAGACAAAAAAGAAAGCCCACGAGGTACTAAGTCTTATCCCGAAGCCTGAAGAGGCAGGAACAGGCGTTCACAGCCTCACTCACTTCCATTCTCAGTCTCCTGGTACACAGGGAGCAGATTCTTGGTGCGGATCTGCTGGCGACGAAGGCGGATCTTCTGCTTCAGTTCCTGGATCTCCCTGTCACTGTCCTCCTCCCCTTCCTCCTCTTCTAGGCACTGGCTCATCATGTTGCACTTCATCAGCTCAATGGCAGCAATCAAGGATTCTGAGATGCTGAAGTGGGCATTTTCCTGGGGAAGAAGAGCACCAGAAAGGGGACATCTCACTGATTATACTCTTGGAAAGTAGCTTCCAGAACGCGCATTGCTTTCACTCAAAACACCCAGGGGACATGCACACTGCTCCTATAATGAAAGCTGATGGCCAGAAAACCTGTTGCATATTCTCTTTGCTCTCGTATCTGGCCATGCCTGGCCTTCCTGTCCCACTTTCCACATAAAAATATGACAGAGAAGAGGTCAGGTCTTTCCTAAAACCATACATTTATATACAAAGTATTAAGGCAAATGAGATGTCTCAAGATAAAGTGCTTTGTAAGCTATAAAATGCTACAGGGACATCATTTATCACATATCTGAGCCTTAGAACAAAATATAGAAGTTGATTCTGGAGACAGTCTTTACCTAAGGTTCCAGGGTCAAGGAAACAGTAATCATGTGACTAAAATTCAATGTTTCTCTGTCCAGGGTAGCTTCTAAGACAAAATCAGTAATATCTCTGGACTCAGTGAGGCGCATAGGCTCCCAGAAGAGCTTTCCAGAGACAGAACTTGTTGAGCTTATCTTTACTGTGACTTACCTGTATTGTAGTCTACACCCATGTTATTGCTGTGTACCCAAAACCTCTTTAGGACAAATGGCACTGGAGCCCTCAGACCAGATCTCCCAACTCATGGGCTTTTCAGTGGCTCCTTAGAGTCCTCACCTTTTCCAGGTCTGCACAGCTGCCAAAGTCTTGCTCAGACAGGTAGCTGATGAGGGACTGTCCCTCTGATGGTCTTCGGAACATGCCTTCTCCTGAGCACAGGTACTGACTGCCCTCTGTGGGAAAATGGAATGTGGATGTGAAAAGCCCTGCTTTGAAAAGCAAATCTTCTTTACAGACAAGCTTCTTTAAGAAGTCTGATGATTTTAACACTGAAGATGCTCCCAAGTCTTCCCGGATAACAGGTTGGAAAGATGTCTACCTTCTACAGGAATTTCTCTGAATCTCGGAATCCCAGAGCACTAAGCCCCTGGGTTAGAGAATGGTGGAATAAATGGAGAGAGCCTGGAGACAACCCTTTGACCACCTAAAGTTAAAGATGACATACTCGTCCTCCTACCCACAAACAAAGAAACCAAAAAACCTGTGCTGTGAGTCAGACAAGGAAAGAAATGGCTCTCCCTGTGGATGATTTCCATTTCCTATCTTCGGTAATTAAGCCTAGACACTCAAAGGCCTCTTTTCAAGGTCTCTCTCACCCACTCAGAGAGCCGTTCCAGCTGGCTCACCAGACATTCACGGTGATAACACCCATAGCACGAGACAGTGGGACCCCTAAGGCAGAGAGGAGCAAGAGAAATGGCAGGGTAGTGTGATTTCTGGCACAGGGGTTGAAAATAATGAAAGGGAGGGTGAGACTGTATGGTGTGTACCCTCCACAGAGCTAAGATGAGCTACACAGCTCAGAGTGTGGCAGGCATGGGGGGACCAGAGCAAAGACATGATTGCAGCACTGGCCTTCCTAGTACTCACTTACCATACTCCATGTACAGAGAGCTGGGTGTGCTGACTTCACTGCTTTGACCAGAGTAGGACAAGGGGCCTCTCAACTTCGACTTATCACTGCAGGATTCTAGTGTCAGTGGCCACCAGGGAGTAAAAACACACATGCGAGGTGAGCGACACATACATTCCCAACTTTGGAGTTTCAATATTTAACTGCTCCCATTCCCAATGCCCTCCCGAACAGGAGAGAGGTGGCACACCAACAGGGAACAGTCCAAGAATGCAGGAACATATGGAGGAAGGGAGGTGGGAAGTCGGTATATTCTAAGGGGAAAAGAGAAAACATGACCTGGAATGTGGCAACACAGAGGTGAAAAAGAATCAAATCAAAGTGGATTCATGAATTTAGTTCTCTCTTCTTCCATCTTCTTACCAAATGTTCCAGGAATATCAGCCAATTTCTACCCTCTTGACAAACCAATTTAGAAAACAGTCCTCACATGGAGACAAGCACACTGAAACTTTTCTGATAACTTGACACTAGACTTTAAAACAATATCAGAAGGGTTAAACTCACTAAACAAACACTAGGATATGGCCTCTCTTGCACCTGAAATGTAAATTTGTCATGCCTACAAATTTAACCCACTTCTGAACTGGCAGAACAAAATAACACCCAGCAATGTCCTTAAAAGCAGCATCAAGACAATGTTAGAGAAGCCAAAGATGATGGCCTTGTAACCAAAGGGCTCAGCCACAGGGCTGTAGACCCAGCCTTCCTGGAGAAGGAAGGGAGAGGTTTCATGAGAAGCCTAGCAAAGTAGGAAGTGTCTGGGTAGCAGTTTTCAAGGAACACTGAGAGTTGAGAGTGGAGGAATAGCCGCAGGCATGGTTCACAGGAAATGGAAACTGATATTCTCCAAAGGGAAACACAAAATCCCCAGTGCCACAGAAAGAAGAGCAGGCAGCAAAGCAGGTGGGTGCCTGAGAAGTGAACAGGATGCACTGGGAGGACTAATGATTGAGCAGCATCCAACCCATTTCCTTGACAGATGGTGCCAATTTGTCAGCTGCTCCTCTCACAAAAAATGCTACTACGTGGTAAGTGATAACTCTGTGTTCCCTTGGTGGTCCTGGCAGTGGGCTCTGCTCCTCACAACAAACCAGCAGTCACCATGATGCCTTGGTAAGAAACCATGATTTGGAGGCAAACTTTGAGGTCCCCAGTCAAACTCAGTGCACAACACAAACTCCAACACCAGAACCTTATTCCTTTACAGCACGTAAAGGCCATCCAGCCTTTGCTCACTGAGCTCACTACCTCCTGATGCTACCCATTCAACTGATCAGCTCTAATTCTTAGAATTTCCTCATACTGACTTGAAATCTGTCGTCTTACAATTTCTTATCTCCTCAAGAACAACAAGACTCTTCTAAACAAAGGTCTCGCAGACTTGTTCCTCTTTAACCTCTTTGCCAAGCTAACACAGCCAGTGGCTTCACCCATTACCAGGAGGCCATAATTTTCAGTTCTCCCTTACCGCTCAGTCTTGCAGACACATTCTAGCATCAATATCTCCATGCATGATGTACCCAGAATGTAACACAATATGCAGTTTGAACAACACTGTGAAAACCAAAGAAACAGACTTAAGTCAATAGAAAAACCTTGTGCAATGGCTGGAATGAGGGGGTGGGGGAGAAATTTACAGGGGAAGGAAGACAGGTGAAAGAAAAAGGAAACAGGGGACTCCAGGAGAGGCAAAAACATGCACTCACATCCAAGACCACAGAAAGAGGAGAAAACACATTCTGGTGTTAAATCATGGAAAATAAAGTAATTTGTAGTAAGTATTCAGTTATAAGAAAAATTCTGCCACTGATTCATCATGATGTCTTAGACAAACAGCAGACCTCAGATTCACCTTTGGGCAATACAGGCTTGACAAGTCTTGATTCTATCTCCTGGATGCTGCTGAGAGACTGAATGAGGCATTTGGAAGTCGTGGGCAAAAAATGTATCATGCAAAACAACGGTATTATTTTACCAACAGGTCTAACCATAACTACAGGACCAGGCCAGCCAGACTTGATTTGACACCAGAATGGAAAAGGAAGTTCGAAACTAAGCAAGATGGTCACAGAGGAACACGAGGAGGTGGGGGTGGGGGCTGGACAGACAGGACTGGCTCCCAAACCTGCAATGGGATCTTCAACTATAATGGTGATACTCCTGGGGCCTCCTGTATGTAGACAGACAGGTGCAGAGGAAAGTCCAGAACACGAGAATAGAGAGTGAGAAAAAGAGCGTCTTCTTATCTAGCAAAGGTTGGGGCTTAACTCCTGAGAGGGAACCCTAGTGCAGAGGGAAAGATGACTCGTACGAGAAGCTGCACATGACCCACACTCCCTCAGATCCTTCTGCTTAGGTTTTCTCTGGCTCCCTTTTCCAATGCAGGTTCCCGCAGTTTCTGGAATCCGCATGGATGCAAGAATGGGGGCAGGGGAGTTTTACATGCTCAAACACTAGTAGCCTGGAGTACAGTAGACTGCTCCAGGAGATGTGAAGTAAGGTCTTCACATCTCCAGGTCTGCTCCAGGAGATGTGAAGTAAGGGTCTAACCCAAGTACTCTTCACATCTACGAAGGCTCGTGGGAAGACAGGCTTTGATTGGAGACTTTTGTTCTAACGAGTTCCAATGAGCCAAACCACATTCTTGAGGGGAAAACAGAGACAAAAGTTTGCAATTCAGAAGTTTCAGATGAAGGCCTTAGCTCTCACCTTTTAGAAATTATAAAGAGAAATCAATAGCAGCTCTAGTTGTAAAAGGAAATCTTCCTTTTTTGCTCTTAATTTTTTATACTTTACATTTATATTTTATTTCTGAGGCTTTTCCACCCAGAACTGGCCTTGAGCACAAATCGGCCTTCTACTTGCTTTTATGGAGATGCTCTTACGAATGAAACCCAACCAAAGCCTGCCAGACACCAACAACCTAGGAAAGATGATAGTAGGGAAATGGCAAAAGCAATGACACCACCTTGGCCATGCCTAAGGTGCTCTCTGCTAGCAGCTGGCGTCTGTGTGAAGGAGGTCCTAGTAGCCAAGGCCTCCTTACCCAACTGCCTTTCAACCTGAACTAGTGATGGAGCAGTCAACCCCACTTACTTGTTTACTAGGTCCCATCACCCCATACTCACTACATCTCTAGTGTTAATAAGGAAACCCTAACATCAGTTTGCCTCTCTCTTATTGTTATTATATCCTGACCAAACTTCTCAGGAATCACAGGAAGGGACGGAATTTAATGGGATTATTTTTAAAGCTCATTAGTACTTTCCCTCTGTCTGAGAGATGCATTTAAAACTTGGACTGTGATTAGTCACACTCTCCTCTGGTGCTAAAGAACCAGTGAAAGAATCCAGGAAAGCATTTACTATTTAGCAATGTAGAAAGGAACAAACATAAATATTCTCAGAGAGATTTCTTAGGTATCCACATTATATTACAAACTTCTCTTTTTCATTATAAGCAATATACTCTTCATATCATCAGAAACATAACTTCTCTTTCTGCCATCTGAAGACCCTTAAGAACAAACTCGCCCTTCCACCTGAACTTCAGGAGGCCACCTTACTGACTACGGGCTGGTGGTTATCATTACCTGGGGCTCCTCTGGAGGCAATGTTGGTATCCGAATGGGAGCGAGTATGGCTCCTCTTTGTTCCACCGGTGACAGTGAGTGTTTGCCCCTCTGAGAAGCTAGACCTGCGAAGGACATTGGACAACTGGCTCTTCCCACCTCCCTCTTGGTCCCCTAGAGAGGAAGCAGCAGAATCTCGCTTCTGGGAGCTGCTGGAGGAGAACAAATTGGAGCTGTTGCTCTCAGCATTGCTGCTGTGACTCTGACAGCTGGCGGTCCGGCCTCGGGGGTCCTGGTTGCCAATGGCCAAGTACTCAGGCCCCTCACTGGCATCACTTGGGGAATCATTCTGGCTGCTGACCCAGGGTGCTTCTAAGGGGCTGGTCAGAGTGCTGGAGCTCATCTCATTTGGGGTCGAGGGGGAGTCCCCGGCTAATGCAGAGATTGGAAGCAGAGGGGCTTGGACGGTTTGATCCTCTGCTGGCAAGACATGTCCTCTGCTTTCTTGAGGTTTCTGGCATGGGCCACAGAGTGAAAAGGAAGTAGATCTTCTTTCTAGGATATAAAAAGAAAGGGAAAGGAAAGGTGAGGTGGAAGCCTTTGGTACCTGTGAAGGGCTTCTCCACAACTAAGGAACAAACTCCCTGTTGTTACTGGGTGCCCAGGACACATGGTGTCACGTCAGAAAAGGCTAAATCGTTCAAGGTAAGCAAAAAATTACTTAGAAGCAGCTAAGTCAAAAGCATAAGCTCTTGGGAGAATGGCTTCATTGCTTATTCGTATGCATTGCCCATCTATAACATGAGCAATAATAATAACACCTACCTCGTAGGACTGTTTTGAGGGTCAAACGAGATAATATATACAAATTGATTACAACAGAGCCTGGCACATGGCAGGCACTGAATAAATGTTAGCTATTATCATTGAAATGCCTTCTGGCAATGCGGATCAGAAACCCAGGGGAAACTAAAAACATCTCTTGCCTCTGTTACTTTAATGATGCTACTGAATTATCTTAGGCTAGTTGCTATATACCTCTTTAAGATTTCCATATTAAGACATGAAGTTTGACAAACTGCATCAACCCAAGGCTCCATCTATAGCCAGCCTGTGAGCACCCACTAAGTCCTCTGCTTTCCAGGCCTGGGGATACATGTCTTGACTACCCCTTGCTGCCCCCATACCTGAGCCATGATGGGGTATGGATTGGTGGAGGCTAGAGAAGGACCCAAAATAGGAATGCTGAGCATAACTGGTTGAAGGGGTGTACGTGGAACCAGGCAGAGCTGTCAGGCTCTGGCTCTTTGTCACCAGCAGCGGGCTCTCATGCTTTCTGGCAAACTACAAAAAAAAACACGTGTCAGAGTCAAGGATAGAGGCCCTCAGAAGAGGAGCACTTAGCACTACAGAAACGCTGGTAGGAACTGGCCTTTGGCAGCAGGCCTGAACTGCAGCCAGGGCCAGTAGATACAGCATAGGTATCCTCTATTAGAGCATACAGCTTTGAAACTTCAAAGTCCTGCCATACACCACAGCTTCTGCACTGGAATCCTAGGTGGTCAGACCAGAAATGCTTATCATGGAGGCAGTACAGCAAAGTGCTTAAGACTATGCACTTAGAAGTCAGATACGCTGGGGCTCAAATCCAGGCCCTATCACTTACAAGTTCTTTGGTCCAAACATTGGGCAAGTGACTTATCTACTCTGTCCCTCAGTGGCCACCTTTATAAAATGAGATTAATGCCTACTTTATAGAGTTCTGAGGATTAAATGAGATGATGCATGTACTGTGCATAGCACCATGATTGGCACGTAGAAAGTATTCAATAGATGGTAAGCAAGAATCGAAATTGAAAAACCAGGAGAGATAGGGGATCCCTCACAAAAGAAATAGGGATTGTGATTCCTTTCTAGTGGAGGCACTGATATTAGTGACGGGATGAGTGAATTAGAGAGTTAATAATAAGCAACATAAAACAACAAAATTTTCTTGGACAAAAATGATCCTGTGTAACATCAGGCCACACTACATCTGACACCCTATCTACAGCCAGCCTGACTCAAAATCATCCCTCCTCTCCCTAGCATTTTACCAAGCCTGCCCTTAAGGAGGTGCTTACTCAGACTACAGATTTCTTTAAGGATTTAAAAAAATAGACACCTCCCTCCTCAAATAGACTTAAGCTTACTCACAAATAGACATTTTACTTAAATAGGTACTTAATGGTACCTCCTCTTCTAAGATTTTTTGTTTTTGTTTTTGTTTTTAATGAAAGTCTTTCAGTTCACAATTGCCTAAGTGGAGTAGTTTGCTACATACGGTTACATCATGGTGAGGTCTAGGAGGCCAGAACATAAGACACAGATAATTCTTTGGCCACTTTACCATAGATGCATCAATCTGAGCCAGGAGACGAGGGTTGTTCTGTTCCACTGCTTCTAGGCATTGGAGCATGGCCGTGACATGGGAGTCGCTTAGCAGGAAAGCAGTATCTGGGGAGAGAAAACTACCGCAATGATGGAGCCCATTAGGGAGAACTTCAGCCTCCCTGTATGGCCCTGGGAGAAGCTCAGGGAAGGAAAGAGGGAAAAGGCAAAGATGACTTGAGGAGAATCATACCACTGTGGACAGAGGGGAACTAGGGACAAATAATGTACAGAAGAGGCTAAATCATGTGCAGTATAGCAGAGGCCAAGACAAGAGGCTTCAAAATCAGAAAGACTCAGATTTGAACTCTGGTTCTGGGTGACTTTGGCCAAGTCACCTAACCTCCTTGAGCTCTGCTTCCCTGATTGGAAAACAGGGGTATCAATACCCAACTCTCAGGGCTGCTGTTAGGTATATATATATAAAAAATATATAACAGTGATTGGAATATAGGAAACTCTCAGTAAATAGTAGTTACTCTTACTGATTTGCGTATATGGGAGTAGGGAAATACCTTAGCATAAAGCTTGACTGCATTTTACATAGCAAGTTAGAGAGAAGACTAGATACATGTTTCTGATTAGAATCTCTATGGCATCAAGTAAAAGTATGAGACCCTGAGGTAACAGTGGGTCTATAAAGGAAGAGTAAAGTAGAAGAGAATGAGGAAGTACGTGTACCAGTACTGGCTATGTGACCTCTACCCACCTGTGTAGAATTTTCTGATATACTGTCTATCCCCCAGCAGAGGTCGGAGCTGGGCTGAGAGACAGTGGCACTGCAAGCTATGCTGCAGCCACAGCTCCGCAACGGCACGCTCACTCATGCCGTCAGTGCTGCTCTGGCCGTTCTCCTGCAAGTTGATGAACTAGGAGGCAAAGAAGCATGAGTCAAAATATACATCCAGGGCATCCCTGGTGGTGCAGTGGTTAAGAATCCGCCTGCCAATGCAGGGGACATGGGTTCGAGCCCTGGTCCAGGAAGATCCCACATGCCGTGGAGCAACTAAGCCCGTGTGCCACAACTACTGAGCCTGTGCTCTAGAGCCCGTGAACCAAAACTACTGAGCCCAGGTGCCACTACTACTGAAGCCCGCACACCTAGAGCCTGTGCTCCGCAACAAGAGAAGCCACCGCAATGAGAAGCCCGCGCACCACAGCAAAGAATAGCCCGCTTGCTGCAACTAGAGAAAGCCCACGCGCGGCAACGAAGACCCAACGCAGCCAAAAATAAATAAATAAAATTTAAAAATATATACTTCCTCGTAAATCCAGCAAGATTGAGGCCTAATGACCTGAGAACTAAATTGAGACAGGTAAGAGGAGGTAATCAGAGATATTTGCCCTCCAGCTAACATCTACAGGTTATAGAGGAAGGAGAGGGAAGGAAAGGATTAATGTCTCCGCTGCTGGTTTGGGCCACTAGAAAGGGACTAAGCAGTTAAGACGTGATATGCAGCTCCTGGAGAGGACAAAGCTGCTGCGTCTGTCTCTTTATGTTGTAACTCCAAAGAGGCATCTATTCTCCGGGTATTCAGAGGAAGAATGAACTTGACATCTCGCCTTCTCTCACAGAGTCCTCTATTTCAGGTAGCCTCCAGAAAAGAATGCAAGAAAAACCTGGGGTAAAAAAATCTAGGAAAAATGCCCCCAAACATTCTTCACCAAAGAGAAATCAGCTGAGCACGTCTTGTTGGCTTTCGCCACAGCATTTCTCTATTTGGAACTTCCTTCTATTGGCTGTTTCTAAAAGCTAAGTCTCATAGTTCAGGATCACTGCAAAAAATGTATGGATGGCAATTTCAGGCAGCTTCTAAGAGGAAATGACCATATTTTATTTTATTATATATATATATATATATATATATATATATATAAGCAATATATTTTATTTTATTTTTTTAAATTATTTATCTATGGCTGCGTTGGGTCTTTGTTGCTGTGCGCGGGCTTTCTCTAGTTGCGATGAGCAGTGACTACTTTTTGTTGCGGTGCACGGGCTTCTCATTGCGGTGGCTCCTCTTGTTTAGAAGCACAGGCTCTAGGTGCCTGGGCTTCAGTAGTTGTGTCACGTGGGCTCAGCAGTTGTGGCACATGGGCTTAGTTGCTCCGCAGCATATGAGATCTTCCTGCACCAGGGCTCGAAACTGTGTCACCTGCATTGGCAGGCATATTCTTAACCACAGCACCACCAGGGAGGTCCCATGATATATTTTAGAGAAAAAAGTTAGAGGGGGGTTTGGTGGGAAAAATAAAGTGATAAGGACAAAGAAATCCATGTAAGAAAATCACTGGGCTCTGGGCTTTTCTCACAAAAAAGGCCAGAGTGACACCTTGTGATTTGGTTCCCTGATCATTTAAAAATAAGTTACTTTTCCAGACATCACCTTGGCAATGAATCTGTCAGTGGGTGTGATATACATGAAACAAGACTGGTCATGAATCAGTAAGTATTGAAGATGGGTGATATTTTGGGGTTCATTACACTCTTCTAATTTTGAATGTATTTGAAAATTTCCATAGGCAAGGGTTAAATAAATAAATATATAAATTTGGCTGTGATTGATGTGGAACTAGCTGTGTAACTCTGGCCAAGTCACCTAACCTCCTGGAGCTCTGTGTCCCTGGTTGGGAATCAGGGGTATCATGCTGAGCTGAGAGGACGGAAGAGTACAGTGCTACTCTACTCTCCAATGCTGTAGGGAACATGTTAGGCTCCATTTGACACTGGTCTCCAGAAACCTCACATTTTTTTTCTATTTGGTGCATCCTCTTCTCCTTAAACAGTCATCAGCATATCAGTCCTACTTACCCCCAACCATTCAGGAAACTTCTTGCCATTTGTCCTAGATTTTGAAAAGCTTCACTCTGGTCCCATATTTGCAAATCTTTTGAAAATAACAAAATTTTTTCAGGTCTTCCCCAGAGGAGGGAAAGTGGCCTAGAACAATGGGTGTGCAAAGCTTATGTTTTAAAGTAAATCATCCTCCCCGCCAAATCAGTCCTACAGGGATAATTTCCTCTCCTCAGTTAATAGGAAATTTGACATATGCCATCCTTCTAGCCTAGGAGACTCTTCATACAGAACATCAAACATCAAAGCCTTGTGGTTACCTTCACCTCTTACCTTCTCCACATGAAGGGCCGAGTGGGGACTGAGCCAGCGGATGTCTTTCACAAACTGCCAGTAATCAGTCTGGCGGCAATACACCTGTTTCAGGGACACAGAAGGTAAATAAATTGTTACCATTTTGGACCACATCTAGTTCTCGTACTGACATTCAAAGAGAGGAAAAAGAAAAGCCTAACTTGGGACTTCCCTGGCGGTCCAGTGGTCAAGACTTCACACACTTCCAATGCAGGGGGCGTGGGTTCGATCCCTGGTCAGGGAACTAAGATCCCACATGCCGTGCGGCATGGCCAAAAAAAACCAAAGCCTAACCTTCCCTTGCCTCAACAAAGGTTCTCAGCAGCAATAAAAGGAATATATACAGATATTCACCCTTTTAAAGAATAATTGTTAAAAATTATTTTAATTGTTCTTTTGAGGAGGTAATACAATGCATATGATATAGAAGGCTATATAGGTGACCCTTGAACAACACGGGTTTGAATGGTGGGTCCTCTTATAAGTGGATTTTTAAAATAAGTATATAGGAAAATTTATTGGAGATTCGCAACAATTTGAAAATAACTTGCAGATGAACTGCACAGCCTAGAAATATTGAAAAAATTAGGAAAGTTAGAGATCTCATGAATGCATAAAATATAGGTAGATGTTATCCTATTTTATCATTTACTACCATAAAATATATACAAACATTATAAAAAGTTAAAGTTTATCAAAACTTACACACACAAACACTTATGGACCATAGACGGTGCCATGTGCAGTCAAGAGAAATATAAACAAACGTTAAGAAGCGGTATTAAATAATTGCATAAAACTAACTGTAGTTAGTTTTATGCAATTATGTACTCCTATGATAATTTTGTAGCCACCTCCTGTTGTTATTGTTGTGAGCTCAAGTGCTGTGAGTGTCCACTCAAAATGCCGTGTGACACTAATCATCTCTGTATGAGCGGTTCGTCTCTCCAGTAAATTACATACTGCAGTAAAAAGTGACCTTGCCCAGCTCTTGTGTATTTTCCATTGTGTTTAGTGTAATACCAAAGACCCTGAATAACACCAGGGGACCCATACGAAGTGCTACTAGTGATGGTGGGAGTGCTCCCAAGAAGCAGAGAGAAGTCATGACATTATAAGAAAAAGCTGAACTGCTTGATATGCACCGTAGATTGAGGCCTGCAGCTGCAGTTACCCACCATTTCAAGATAAGTGAATCCAGTGTAAGGACCATGGTAAAAAAAGAAAAGGAAATTCGTGAAGCTGTGCCTGCAGCTACTCCAGCAGGCACAAAAACCTTGTACTTTTTGAGAAATACCTTTTAATTTCATATTGAAAAATTCAGCTTTTATGTGGGTACAGGATTGCTATAGGGAAGGCATACCTATGGACTCTAATATGATTCAAGAAAAAGCAAAGTCATTATGTGACAACTGAAAGCAAAAAGAAGGTGGAGGATCTAAAGCTAGGGAATTCAATGCCTGAAAAGGATGGTTTGAAAATTTCAGAAAGAGGGTTGGAGAAGCAGCTTCTGCTGACCAAGAGGCAGCAGACAAATTCACAGACACCATTAAGAAAATAACTGAGGAGAAAGGATATCTGCCTGAACAGGTTTTTTTTTTTTTGTTTGTTTGTTTTAACATCTTTATTGGAGTATAACTGCTTTACAATGGTGTGTTAGTTTCTGTTTTATAACAAAGTGAATCAGTTATATATATATACATATGTTCCCATATCTCTTCCCTCTTGTGTCTCCTTCCCTCCCACCCTCCCTATCCTACCCCTCTAGGTGGTCACAAACCACCAAGCTGATCTCCCTGTGCTATGCGGCTGCTTCCCACTAGCTATCTACCTTACGTTTGGTAGTGTATATATGTCCATGCCTCTCTCTCGCTTGAACAGGTTTTTAATGCAGATGAAAGTGCCCTATTCTGGGAAAAAAATGCCACAAAGGACATTTACTAGTAAGGAAGGGAAGCAAGCACCAGGATTTAAGAAGGAAGGGACAGGCTTACTCCACTGTTTTGTGTAAATGTAGTTGGGTTTATGATCAGAATTGCCCTTATCTATGAAGCTGCTAACCCTCAAGCCTTGAAGCGAAAGATAAAACACCAGCTGCCAGTCTTTTGGTCGTACAACAAGAACCCTTTTTCTGGATTGGTTCCATCAATGCTTTGTCCCTGAAGTCAGGAAATACCTTGCCAGTAATGCAATAAAAAAAAAAAAAAAAAAAAAGGGAAATAAAAGGAATACAGATTGGGAAAGAAGAAATAAAACTGTCTTTGTTCACACATGACATGGTTGCCTATGCACAAAATTCGAAAGTTCGAAAGAATCAACAACAAAAAAATTCCTGGAACTAGTAAGTGTTATTATAGCAAGGTCACAGGATATATGGTTAATATATAAAAGTCAACTGCTTTCCTATATACCAGCAATAAACAAGTGGAATTTGAAATTAAAAACACAATAATACCATACACATTAGTACTGCCCAAATTGAAATACTTAGGTATAAATCTAACAAAATATATACAAGATCTCTATGATGAAAACTATAAAACTTTGCTGAAAGCTATTAAAGAACTAAGTTACAGAGATAACCCATGTTCATAGATATGAAGACTCAATATTGTCAAGATGTCAGTTCTTCCCAACTTGATGTATAGATTCAATGCAATCTGATTCAAAATCCTAGCAAGTTATTTTGTAGATATCTACAAACTATTCTAAAGTTTATACGGAGAGGGAAAAGACCCAGAATAGCCAATCAATACTGAAGGAGAAGAACAATGTTTTTCTTCAAAAAGGACTGATACTATCTGACTTCAAGACTTACTATAAAGCTACAATAATCAAGACAGTGTGGTATTGGCAAAAGAACAGACAGAAAGATCAGTGAAACAGACTAGAGAGCCCCAAAATAGACCAATGTAAATATCTTTGACAAAGGAGCAAAAGGCAATACAATGGAGCAAAGATAGTCTTTTCAACAAATGGTGCTGAAACACTGGACAACACTTATACCCATCACAAAAATTAACTCAAAATGAATCACAGATCTAAATGGAAAATGGAAAACTATAACCCTCCAAGAAGATAACATAGGAGAAAACCTATATTGGGTATGGTGGTGACTTTTTAGATACAAGACCAAAGGCACGATCCATGAAAGAAAGAACTGGTAAGCTGGACTTCACTAAAATTTAAAACTTCTGCTTTCTGACAAACAGTGTCAAGAGAATGAGAAGATAAGCCACAGACAGGGAGAAAATATTTGCAGAAGACAAAACTGATAAAGGATTGTTATCCAAAATATACAAAGGACTCTTAAAAGTTAGCAATAAGAAAACAAGCAATCCAATTAAAAAAATGGGCCTTGGGCTTCCCTGGTGGCGCAGTGGTTGAGAGTCCGCCTGCCGATGCAGGGGACATGGGTTCGTGCCCCGGTCCGGGAAGATCTCACATGCTGCGGAGCGGCTGGGCCCGTGAGCCATGGCCACTGAGCCTGCGCGTCCGGAGCCTGTGCTCCGCAATGGGACAGGCCACAACAGTGAGAGGCCCGCGTACCGCAAAAAAAAAAAAAAAAAAAAAAAAATGGACCTTAACAGACAATTCACCAAAGAAGATATACAGATGACAAGTAAGCATGTGAAAAAAGGCACCACATCATATGTCATCAGGGAAATGCAAATTGAAACAACACAATACACATCTATTAAATTGGCCCAAAGGGGAGGAAAAAAAAAAAGGAATGGCCCAAATCCAGAACAATGCCTATATCAAATGCTGGTGAGAATGTGGAGCAACAGGAACTCTCATTCATTGCTAGTGGCAATGCAAAATAGTATGGCCACTTTGGAAACCAGTTTGGCAGTTTCTTTCAAACTAAAGATTCTCTTACCACATGATCCAGCAATTTACTTATGTACACACAAAAACCTGAATAAAAACTTGATGTCAATTAAGTAGGGACAAGACAATTTCAAAGTTGGGGGGAGAAAGCCTAAAAATGTAGAACATTTTATATTCATATTATAGGATCTTTAAATTGCTAGTCCAACATAAAGAAATGGAAGCTGGAAGTCCTGTATGATGTATTATGGGTATAATTTATACAAGAAAGATGATATGGAACTCCATCAGTGGATTCATTCTCACAGAAGAGGTTTGACCCTATACCCAAAGACTGTTAATTAAATGCAAATTTAGGATGTTTTAAATTAAAATAAAATGTTTGAGTGATGTATTTTCACAATGTTTAATTTCCCTCAATCAATCAGCTAATGATCCAGGTCATGTGTAAGGCTTTTCCTGTCCTTATCAAAAAATGATATGGTAGTTAACAAGAAAATAAAATGATAAATAGGTGAATGTTGGGGAAAAAATCAACAACAAAAGATGCTATATGAGTGAGGGACTACTCCTACCATAATGAAAAGCTACAATAATTAAAACTGAGTGGTGATAGCACACAAATAGAAAACAGACCATAACAGAAATCCAGAAATAGATCCATGTGCCAAGGAAATTAAGTATATTCAAAATAAATTACAGCTAGAATGGTTTAAATGTAAAACATTAACCCATAAAAGTAATAGAAGAAACCATGGAGAAACATTTTTAATAATCGTATAGTGGGAAAGCCCCTTCAGAGCATCAAACAGAGCCCAGAAGCCCTAAGAGAAACGATTAATTTGACTCACTAAAAATCCGATATTTCAGTATAGTAAAAGCCACCATAACAAATGTATGAACACCAAGTGGGGAAAGTGGCGGGGCGGGGGGGGTGGTCCTGGTGGGATGAATTGGGAGATTGGGATTGACATATATACACTAATATGTATAAAATGGATACCTAATAAGAACCTGCTGTATAAAAAAACAAATAAAATAAAATACAAAAATTCAAAGAAAACAACAAAAAAAAGAAATGTCAAAAGACAAGCTAGGAAAAAATATTTGCAATACACATTACAGACAAATAACTAATTCCCTTAATAAATAAAGAGATTCTACAAATCTGTAGGAAAAGATTGACAATCTAAGGAAATGGGGTTAATACAGGGAAAAGTTCACAGAAAAATACTTATTTTAAAAAAATTAATTTATTTTTGGCTGTGTTGGGTCTTCATTGTTGCACATGGGCTTTCTCTAGTTGCAGCGAGCAGGGGCCACTCTTCAATGCAGTGTGCGGGCTTCTCACTGCGGTGGCTTCTCTTGCAGAGCACAGGCTCTAGGCGTACGGGCTTCAGTAGTTGTGGCATGTGGACTTACTAGTTGTGGCACGTGGGTTCAGTAGTTGTGGCTCACTGGCTCTAGAGCGCAGGCTCAGTAGTTGTGGCACATGGGCTTAGGTGCTCTGCGGTATGTGGGATCTTCCCGGACCAGGGTTCGAATCCGTGTCCCCTGCATTGGCAGGCTGATTCTTAACCACTGCGCCACCAGGGAAGTCCCAGAAAAATACTTCAATGGCTCTTATAAACATCTTTCAGAGTAAAAGAAATGTAACTTTTCACCTATTATGTTGGCGACAGTTTAAAGTTTAATAACACCCTATATTGTCAAGGGTATGAAGAATCAGATCCTCTTATACAATGCTGCTGAGGGCGTAAACAGACATAACTTTCTGGAGGGCAATTTTGCCATAGCTATCAAAACTGAAATGCACATACCCTTTAGCCTAAGCATTCTACCTCTAGGAGTATCCTATGGTAAAGGGCAAAATGACCTATACTCAAGGTTATTCACTGTAACATTGTTACTAAGAGCAAATGCTTGGAAGGAATCTAAATGTTTATTACCAGGAGACTGATTAAATAAATTATGGTACATACATAGAATGGAATATTATAAAATGACAGCTGCGAAAAAGAATGAAGAACCTCTTTATGTAATGGATTGGGATGAATTACAATCCCATCAAGTGAAAAACGCAAGGTGTAGAGTAGTGTTTATAGTATGCTTTTATTTGTATGAAAAATCAAAAGGTGTAGCAAAGAAAATTATTCATATTTGCTCTAATAAGCATAAAAATTCTCTGGAAGGAAACTAGAATACAGTAGTTACCAATGGGATTGGAAGGAAACAAGATATTTACTGCATGTGGTTTTATACATTTTGTTTTTTTAACCATATAAATGTATTGTCTATTTTCTCTTTTTTTTTTTTTTGGCCACGCAGTGTGGCTTGTGGGATCCTAGTTCCCAGACCAGGGATTGAACCCGGGTCTTCAGCAGTGAAAGCGTGGAGTCGTAACCACTGGACGGCCAGGGAATTCCCTGTATTGTCTATTTTAATTAAATATTTTAAAGCAAGTTACAGAGTAATGGATACAGTATAATCTTAATATTTTAAAAAGCATGGACATGCATAGAAAAATATAAGAGAATCTACCAAAATGTTAAAGAGTGATTGTTATTACTTGATGTTGAGATTATGGGTAATAACTTACTTTCTTCTAAACTCTTTTTGGTATTTCCCAAATGTTCAGCAAATAAAAACATGTATATTACTTATATATTCAGAAAAGAAATACACAGGGACTTTCCTGGCGGTCCAGTGGTTAGAACTCCATGCTCCCAATGCAGGGGGCACCGGCTTGATCCCTCGTCGGGGAACTAAGATCCTGCATGCCACACGGCGCGGCCAAAAAAAAAAAATATATATATATACACCCAGAGGGTTTTTTTTGTTATTATTGCTATTTTTTAAATTGGGCCATCTATACTGCAAAGTACAGGTTTCTTCGTAGTGTTGGAAAAGGTGGGGGGAATCTTTGCACTTCTAGTCAGCTGAGAAATCTCAGGGATTAAGCGTCTCCACGTATCTAAGCAGCAGAGAAGGGGTTATCAAATATACCTTGCGTTATGGAAAGACTAAAAGGTAGCCCAGATGCAGGATGTCAAGGAAAACGAGATCCCTCTAAGAATATGGTCACGATGTTAGAGTTTCCTAAGGCCCTGAGTGATTTAAAAAAATACACTTCACATTCCATAACACATCCTTAGGAAAGCACGGAAGAGATATGGCCAGCATGAATCATTGTATCCCTTCCCCCCTCCAAGAGCACAACACCCAGAATAGCTTCCTGATGACACAGCAGCCAGAAGCCTTTGAAAGCCTTAATCTTTAGGGAGGAAATGAAAAGGAAAAACAAGTCCTTAGTACAGACTTTAATTTTTAGGACTTTACAAGGCAGAACTGAGCAGCAGTGAAGTTGGTATGGAACTTTTGTCTTTAATTCTTCCCACTAGAGCCTGTAGTTGCTAAATGTATGTGTGTATGACAGATTTGTCTGGTTTGCTCTGCTTGCTCTTACTAACACTACTGCTGTTTTGTAGGTGACCGTACCCTTTAACAGTTTTCATTCTGCTGACCAGGTACCTTCACAGATCTTATAACTTACTAACAACAATAATATTGTGTTGCATTTACCAAGCATCTTCCACTTGGGAATTCCACTGACTTTACTATTTCATCATGACACATATTCTGTTTCTGGCACAGATGGTAAAACTGTCTTCAAATATAGTAAAGTGATTACTCCAGATGACAATGTAAGATGAGTAATAGAGCCAAGAAAAGAACTTTTTTGCTATCAAGATGAAAGTACTTTAACCACTAAATGATAGTGCCTCTAATCTGGTAGCTATCTTGGTCATCAGTCTGGGAAACTTGTATTGGGTTTTTGTAAAACATGTTGGCGTGGTTCCCAATTCTGGCTTGGGAGACTGAGTAGCTGGCAATGCCACAGATCAGTATTAAAAATATCAGGAGGAAGGGCAACCTTATGAGAGAAAGTAAGTTTGTTTTGGGTCATGTTGTACTTGGCCTATAGGACAGCCAGCCAGATGATAATGTATAGCAGATAGCCAGACAGCTAGTCTTGTGGATCTGAAGTTCAGCAGAGATGTCTGAGATGGGGGTAGGTAGTGTATAGGTGAAGTTAAAACAACGCAAGTGAAGGAGACTGTTTCAGAAAATGTACAATGTAATAAGAGATAAGGACATAGGACTGGACTGTATTAAAAACTAAAATCCGAGAGGAAGAGATTCCACGGACATAAACTAAGAAAGAGTGATCACAGAGGTAGGAGAAGGTCTCCATAACATTGGAATAATGCAGTACGAAGCAAGGTCTGATGATGTTCAACAGTGAAGGACACAAGACAGTGCTCAAAGGAGAAATGTTCACTGGATTTGGTAACATGGACTTACTTAAACTTCAGTAGCAAGAACAACAGTGGTAAGGGCAGAAACCAGATTGCAGTGGGTTAAATTATTTGTTTTGTAAATTCCAATGGTCATATTTTTTTCATAGGACAACATGTAGCTTGAAGCTTAAAAAAAAATGAGGGGAACATTTATTAATTATTTCCTATGTACCACGAACTGTGCTAGGCAAATTTGTATGCCATTTCATTTAACCTTTCCATCAAACATTATGATATAAATAATATTATCAACATTTCTAACGATGAGAAAAGGTTCAAAAAAGTTAATATCACCTAATAGTTAAGACTGACAGACAACTTACTACACTTTCTAAAGCTTTTTCAGGTATTATCTCATTTAATTCTCACAACAATCCTATGAAGTACATACCAGTGTTACCGCCTCATTTTACAAATGAGGAAACAGAAGCACTAACAGTTATGTAACTTACCCAATACCACAGAGTGGTGAAGCTGAGATAAAATAAGAGCAGTGTGACTCAAAAATCCATAATTATTACTACTATGTCATTTTTTCCCCCAAGGACCTGAGCAATTTCAATCCAGGTTCTGTCTGATTCCAAAGACTTCTGTCAGTCTACTGTACAATGTTGCCTCCAAATTCCTGGAATGAGGTTTTAATAGTGATGACCATTAAGATTCAGCTCTTTAAAGGATAAAAATTTCCCCCATATCTTCAAAATTCTTTAGAAAGAGGGCCTCATTTTTAGAACTTACTCTGAATAAAGAAAATCTAACCTAAGACAACTTTCCATTGAATTCTGAAAAAACTCAACAAGAACACTGGTTTAGAGTTTGTTCAGAGGTGATATATACATATTTTTAGAAGGGAAGGTACCACATTAAATCCTATCAACTATGAATATCTTAATACCAATTAATTTTTTCCAGTGTGACTGCTAGTTGAGAATAAATTCTGATTAAAAAAGAAAGACAAGCCTGGCTTAGAAAAAAAGAGTTTCAGGAAAGAATACTAAGGCCTTACATGGGAACAGCATGAGTGTTTGGGAACACAAATTATGCACATAGTTGTGAGGTTTGATTTTTAAAAAGTAGGAGGATCAGATCCAATGACCCACTTGACAATTTTATCCAGAACCAAACCTTATTTAAAACATTGCAAATGGAGTAACTGCCATTGAGAATTAAAGCAGAAACCATCAAGTGTTAGTAGATTCCACTCATTTTTAATACTCAAAGCTTATTAGAGTGTTTGAGGATACTTAGGAAAAGAAACAACATCAATAAAGTTTACATAGAAGAAAATGTAAGCTATAACTAAAACTATCACTCACAAGCATCTACAAGTTATCAACAAAGTGATGCTCACAGGATAGTCTAAAAATGACAATATCCTGTAAATATTTCTCAGATGCGTCCTAGGATACTCTTAAGAGGAATATCTCAATGATTCATCATCATTGTCCTTATCCTCCTCCTTGTTATCATGTATTATAGTCTTGCTCTCAAGGGCTCAGAGACTAGTTGCCTTCATCTCCTCCCTGCCAACAACTTAATGCAACTATTTCTTTCCAACAAGTGATTCAGCCAATCTGGCACAAAAAGAAAAGAAGGGATCTACATACCTGGTCATGGATGAGCCCATGATAGAGGATGCTCTGCATGTCCCTGCAAAGCCGCTCCAGGCCACCATACTTGGACCAGACATTGGGGCTGTTAGCTGATACTAAACCCTCCACAGTAGTCTTCAAATTACCCAGCAACTGCCAGTGCTCCCTCCTGCAAGGGCATCAATTATACCAATGGTTAGTTACTTTGTTGTACCTGATCCTGACCACGTCAAAGAAAGTCTAAGACCACGTCAAAGAAAGTCTAAGCCTCCTGCCCCACATCCTAACATTCTTTCCCCTATTAATTTTTTACTTGAGTATAAGACCCAATTCTGAGAGGACCGAAGTTGTAAAGAACACTAAGATTTTGTTTTAAAACCCTCATATTGGGACTTCCCTGGTGGTCCAGTGGGTAAGACTCTGCGCTCCCAATGCAGGGGGCCTGGGTTTGATCCCTGCATGCATGCTGCAACTAAGAGTTTGCATGCCACAACGAAAAAGCCCACATGCCGCAACTAAGAGTCTGCATGCTGCAACTAAGAAGTCCACATGCCGCAACTAAAGATTCCACATGCTGCAACAAAGAGCCGGTGCAGCCAAAATAAATAAACAAACAAACAAACATATATATATATAAAGCCCTCATATTTACATGGCATATTGTGCTTTGTAAGGTGATCTTCATCTACTATCATTCCATCCTCATGTAAGTAGCCTATAACCCTGTTTCTAGGAGTGTGACCCATTAAGATCCGTTTCTGGACAATGACATTACATGGGCAACATATAAAGAGATGAGGGCATTTGCTGAAAACCAGAAACCTTTTGTCAAAAAAAAAAAGCCAAAAACAACTTTTTATTAACTATATTTCCAGTACTAAGTACATATATCTGTACACAAATATTATGGATAAGAATACAAATTGCCCATGATTTTCCCCCTTAATTTTTTAACCTAAAATTGAGGCAAAATGTTTTAAGCTTGCACTGAGCCACTTAGGACATGTCCCCAAATCAATCAACTATTGGCTTATTCCCTTGGACCATGTGAAGTACTTTAGTGTAAAAGTTTGAAAATTATTGCCCTAGATGATTGTCAAGGTTCCTCTCCAATGCCCAGCATTTTCTCAACACAGCTTCCAACCCAATAAAAATTCAAACCCAGCTGCAATTGAGTGAAAAGAACTGGATACACAGAATCAAACTGGATAAGGAAAACATGAGGAGATGGGGTGTCAAACTCCTTCTCTTGGGCCCCCAATTGTTACGTTGTACACTTTATCTAGCCCTTTCATTTCTTATTAGAATACTACTCTTTCCTCTTCAAGGACAGTCCTGGGAATGGTTATAATTTCTTCAAGGAACTTTCACTATAACTATTTTAATATCATTTAAATACCTATTAGGGTAGGAGGGCTCTGAACTGGAATCCTTTGTAACTCTCATACATTTTGTACACTTTCTGAGCCAGTTTTAAAAAGTGGATGAAGAGAGTAAAGGCAGACAAATAAAATAAAATGAATGAAGCCAGGTCTGGTACAGGAGTATTATCTAAAAGGGGAAAGCCAAATGGATCTCACTCTGGTTTTCTCCTCTGAAGGCTCTGAGACCAAGAATTTATTCAAACTGGGAGACACCAGGCTTTTTTAACCTTACATCATTAAACATTTGAGTCTATTTCTTTTTCCCCCCCCCCAGTTTTATTGAGAAATAATTGACATATAACATTGTATTAGTTTAAGGCATACAACATAATGATTTGATATATGTATACATTGTGAAATGATTACCAGAGTAAGTTTAGTTAACATCTATCCTCACACAGTTATAAATTTTGTTCCTTGTGATGAGAACTTTTAAGATCTACTCTCTTAGCAACTTTCAAATATACAATACAGTAATGTTAACTATAATCACCATGCTGTACATTACATCCCCAAAGTGACTTATAAGTTTGTACCTTTGGACCACCTTCACCCATCTCCCCCAACCCCTCATCCCCTGCCTCTGGTAATCATCAATCTGTTCTCTATTTCTATGAGTTTGGGTGTTTTGGATTCTACATATGTGAGATAATACAGTATTTGTCTTTCTCTGTCTGATTTATTTCACTTAGCATAATGCCTTCAAGGTCCATCCATGTTGCTACAAATGGCAAGATTTCCTTCTTTATGGCTAAATAATATTCCTCTGTGTGTGTGTGTGTGTGTGTGTGTGTGTGTGTGTGTGTGTGTGACATTTTCTTTATCTATTCATGTGTCAATGGACACTTAGGTTGTTTCCATGTCTTGGCTATTTTAAATAATGCTGCAATGAACATGGGGGTGCAGATATCTTTTCAAGAGAGTGATTTTGTTGCCCTTGGATATATATCCAGAAGGAGAATTGCTGGATCATACGGTAATTCTATTTTTAATATCCTGAGGAAATCTCCATACCGTTTTCCATAATGGCTGCCCCAATTTACAATACCACCAAGAGTCCCTTTTTCTCCACACCCTCGCCAACACTTGTTGCCTCTTGTCTTTTTTTTTTTTTGCGGTACGCAGACCTCTCACCACTGCGGCCTCTCCCGCTGTGCAGCACAGGCTCCGGACGCACAGGCCCAGATGCCATGGCTCACGGGCCCAGCCGCCCCGTGGCATGTGGGATCTTCCCGGACCAGGGCACAAACCCGTGTCCCCTGCATCGGCAGGCAGACTCTCAACCACTGCGCCACCAGGGAAGCCCACCTCTTGTCTTTTTGATGCTAGCCCTTCTAACAGGTGTGAGATGATATCTCATTGTGGTTTTGATTTGCACTTCCCTCATGATTGGTCACGTGAAGCACTTTTTCATATACCTGTTGGCCATTCCCCTGTTCTATTTCTAACCCAGTCCTGGGAGATATTTCAAGATAACTAAGAGGCACACAGGACTGAGGTGGTCATTAAAAGGCCATTTATTGTTGTACTGTGAAACTGCCATCACAGAGGCCAACTGACTGCCAGCTTTTGCTTCAGGGATTCTCCATCTCCTATGCTTCCTCAGGAAGCATCTGGCCTGTTCTGACTGATACAGTTTTACATTCCAACAGGTTACAATCAAGTGGTGCAGGCCTGAGAGACAGTCTGGTTCCTCAAGTGACTCTGCATATCTGTGTTCTGATTCATTCTGTATTGATCTTACAAGGTTAACTGTCAAAGAACATCATAATAGGGCTTCCCTGGTGGTGCAGTGGTTGGGAGTCCGCCTGCTGATGCAGGGGACACGGGTTTGTGCCCCGATCCGGGAGGATCCCGCATGCCGTGGAGCGGCTGGGCCCGTGAGCCATGGCCGCTGAGCCTGCACGTCCGGAGCCTGTGCTCCACAATGGGAGAGGCCACAACAGTGAGAGGCCTGCGTACCGCAAAAAAAAAAAAAAAAAGACACAAAGAACATCATAATAAATCCTGAAAGTAGACACCAAGTACCCTATCATCCTAGTGCTTTGATTCCAAAATTTTACAAAGAGCATTGAAACCCTAGAAACCTTGAGCATTCAGATCTATTAACAACTTCTGTACAAACTAAAGAAATTTTCTTCCCCAAAATGAAGTGCCCTTGAGATACCACAGCTACAAAAGAAGGTGGCTCTTACTCTAAGATGTACCAAACCGTCTATATTTAGTATATGCTCATATAGATGAAAAGTAAACTTTAAAAAGTTTTTTTAAATTAATTAATTAATTTATTTATTTTTGGCTGCATTGGGTATTCGTTGCTGCGCGTGGGCTTTTCCCTAGCTGCGGTGAGCAGGGGCTACTCTACATTGCGGTGCGCGGGCTTCTCATTGCAGTGGCTTCTCTTGTTGCAGAGCACAGGCTCTAGGCGCACGAGCTTCAGTAGTTGTGGCATGCAGATTCAGTAGTTGTGGCTCGCGGGCTCTAGAGCACAGGCTCAGTAGTTGTGACACACAGGCTTAGTTGCTCCATGGCACGTGGGATCTTCCCGGACCAGGGCTTGAACCTGTGTCCCCTGCACTGGCAGGTGGAGTCTTAACCACTGTGCCACCAGGGAAGTCCTAAAAATTTTCTGATTTACATAGCTAGTTTGTTTAGTGTCTTTACTTTTTAGGATCCTTTACTCTAATGATACTGTTATCATTTTCAGAGAGCTGAAATACTAAGTTCAACTGAAGCCCATACACAATGGTTGGATTAATCCATTCATACCTGAATCTTAGATGCAAATAAATAGATCACCATGATAAATAAAATATCCCTCCTCATTCTTTACCCAGATTGTTAGCAAGTGAGGTCAGTCTTTCCTAGGCTAAACCTGTTTGGTAATAATTATTTGGATTGTACCATCTTGCATTCACATGTAACCTTCATCTGGGCACAGGCAAGGACTATATTAGGCTCAAAGCAGCCCTTTGTATGGCCACTTCTGCAAGTATACAGAGTGCTCTTCTTTAATCACCATAAATTAAAAGCAAGTCTTTCTAAGCATATTACCCTATGTCAAGAAAGAACTAGGCTTGAGTGGCAAGGGACAGCATAATCCATCTCTACTTGAATCGTATTTATCAACAAACAGCAAAGCCAATCTCAGAATAAAGTCCTGCCAATTTTCTTTTGGGAGGGTTTCGACTACATTCTTTGAAGAGGAACAGGCATTGCTTAAGCAACTCAAATAAGCATACCCAAGGAAAAAGTTTCCCTAAATGCCAACTCAGTCTTAAGCTTGCCAAATCACAATTAGAAGTAACACTCAGGTTAAAACAGTAAAGTTACAGGCAAATGTTATTTTTTAAAGAAGTGTTATACCATATAACTAATATAAAACTAATAACTAAAAATAAGTGAAATCAATAGTAAATAAATAGTAAATACTGTGCAATTGTAAAATGAGATTCAATGCAAGAAATATATATTGGCATATCTTCCACCCCCAAGACTCTTTTTAGTAATAAAAGGAAACAGCTTCAACTTATTAGCATATCCCATCTACAGTATGCCAGTTATCTGCATTGTAATGTGGTATCTACCTGAGACCAGAGTTGAAGGTCAGGTTGTTCCAAGTCAGGTAATGATTTGATCCCTGAAATGTGAGGAGAGGTATGTGATACCCATATGTGGAATATCATGAAACCAATAAAATTTTTGATTAGGAACAATTTCCAAAGCTAATGAAAGTATGTAAAAG